GTTGAGGTCGCTGGACTCTGTCCCCCATCCTTTGGAACTCCATCCCACAGTTCCTTAGCCTTGCTCGCTCCCTTGCCTTCTTTGAGGCCCGTCTCAAGACCCTCCTCTTCGACCGAGCCTTCGGTCACCTTCCTACCCCCACCCTCCCTGCCCTCCACTCCACCTGATCCCAAACCCCAGCTCGGGTCCAAATCCCTGACCGTCCAGTGCTTTGGGGTGTGAAAGGTGCTACGTAAATGTAATTTGTTGTTAAACCGTCCTCGCTAAATTTACGACACAAATTCCATCACATCCCCCACTCGTCTATATCATTTGGTGCCTCCATCCGCCGTGACCTGACTAACACTGCAATCTGTAGTTAGACAACCTTGTAATGGGCTTTTGTGAATCATGTGCTCAGCTAATCTTTGGTAATTTGACAAAGAGTTGTACTAACCTTTGCTCGATCATGTAATCCCACCACTTGCACGAGGGTTGTGGTTTGCAGACCATTGTTGACATGTAAGCTGACAGTGCGTATAGAAATAAAAGCAATCTAGCCATCTAGAATCTCGATTCCTTTTATTTTTTTCTATCTGCAGCTGGCTCCCCCACACCTTGTAATGTGCCTACTCCTCAATAACTATCTCCGTTCTGAAACTCTCTCTCCCCCCCTCAATCCCTCCGCCTTGCCCCCTCCCTCACCCCTTTCAAATCCCACCTAAAGACCTTCCTTTTTGGTAGTGCTTACGGTCCCCTCCCCGCTCCCTCTCCCCCTGGTTCGGGTTCAAGCGCTCCAAGACGGTAACCCGTGCGAAGGGCGTTATATAAACACACGTTGTTGTATTTTTAATCTTTTTTTTTCCTATCAGAGAAGCTGTTACTTGGAATCAATTTTTTTTTTTAACGTGTGCGTGTGAATCTTTTTGTCTGCTCTGGAAATGCCTCAATTTGATTGTGCGTGTTGTGTGTGTGCAGGGGAGGGGGCTGCAGGCAGTGTGTGTATTGGGGGGGCTGCGGATAGGTGTGCGTTTGTGAGGCTGAGTTGTGCGTGGGTGAGGGTGGGCAGTGGGTAGGGTATGTGTTCGGGGGTAGGGTGTTGTCCTGAACAATTTTGTTCGTTCTCGGCTCGGTCACAGGGTGAGGGTCAGTGGCTGAAATTGCAGCCATGTTATCAGTTGCGAGATTTGACTGTGACACCACTTAAAATAACTGAGTCCAAATGTTATCCAAATCCTGTACTTTTATAAAATTGTGTGTTTGCAGCCTTGCTTGCCTTATTCGGAAAGAGTATCAGGTTCAGGTTGGCAAAAGCTAAGGCTTGGGTGCGCACCAAAGTGTGCGTTGGGAACTGATAATAATAATTCTTGCGTTTAATATAAAGCCTTCGACTGTCAAGTGAATTGACTGTATATTGTGTGGGCGAAACGCAACAGCCAATTGCGCACAGCAGCGTCCCACAAACAATCGTGGATCGAATGACCAAATTATTATTTTTTAAAAAATTATATTATCCCTCCCCACCACTCCCGGAAAAGCGATCCGCCAATCGACTAACAACCGGCTTCCTACTCATTGCTAGGTAAACAGAGGCATGTGTGTGGAGTAAGGAAACTTGCCTAATGTTTCACCCCAACCTGGCCCACCCGTGAATCAAACCCGGGTCCTCTTGCTTGCGAGGGAATGCTCTAACCAGTACGCTACAGGACTCTTAAGAGTAAGTGCCCCTCATAGTGCGCAGCAGTGGTATGACTTAAAACTTAGCTGAATGAAATGTGTCTTAAGTGCACAGATATACTCTCGCAGACCACAATAGAATTGTGCGACAGTCAACAAGCATGACGGACAGGGTATACTTCCTCTTTAAGTCCAAGCCCGTCAGGTTTGTTGTGGAGGATGTCTGAGTCAAATGTATAGCGGGCTGGTTTCTCTCAGGAAATGCACAGATATTCTCATCTGAATTTCCTAAAACCCAAAATATCATGACAAACCTAATTGTTGTCTGCCTCGTTTTTTTCCACTGGCTGTTTTGAAGGTTGCCCGGTCTCATTGAGTCCCAGAGTGTTACGGCACTGAACCGGGCCTATCAAAGTCTGGTCTGGAGATTTTTTTAATCGTCCTGGCATTTCATAGCGCCTTATCACGTTTTCGAGACATCTCAAAGCACTTCACAGGGCGTACTATTAAGTGGATTGACCGTATTTTGTCCCACGAAACGCTGCAGCCAATTGCGCAGAGCATTGTCCATAAACAGTTGTGGATTGAGTGACAAAATTATTATTTTTTTGAATGAATTATTACCCCCGGAAAGACGATCTGCCAATTGACTAACAATCAGGTTCTATGTGTGCCTCGCAAGAGACCTGGGTTCAATTTACAATTTACAATCTAGGTAAACAGGTGTGTGGAGTAAGGAAACTTGCCCAGCGTTTCGCCTACCGGGAATCGAACCCAGGTCTCTTGCGAGGCGAGTGCTCTAACCAGTGAGCTACAGGAAAGGTTTCCTCCGCAGTAGCCTATCTAATCGTTGTTGGCTCCCTCACACCCTTCAATATTCCTCCTCCTCAAGTATCTATCCAATTGCCTTTTCTTAAAAAAAAACACTGATGGATTTTGCTTCCAAGAACAGTTTCTGACAGTGAATTGCATGTTCCAGCTTCCCTCTGTGTGAAGGCATCTTTATTCGCCGCCTCAGTCCTGCACTCATTCCACACCAGTAGTTTTAAACTGTTAGGTTACGTGTTTTGTTTCGTTTTATTCGACCTTAGGCAAGTTTCCTTACTCCACACGCCTCTGTTTCCAGAGCAGTAAGTTGGAACCCAGTTGTTAGTTGATTGGCGGATCACTTTCCGGGGGTAATAGTCTCTCCAGTTTTTTTTAAAAAAAAATAATTTGGTCAATCCACTTTATAGTATATCCTGTGAAGCGCTTTGAGACATCTCAATGACGCGATGAGGTGCTCTTATCAAATGCAAGGATTATTATCGAAACGGCATAAAAGATTGTCATTTTCTCGGGCAACTGGAATCTGCCGAACGTTCCGCGATTGGCGGAAACGTTGGCGGGTTTCCAACCCGTCCCTTTAAAAGGCAGCAATTTGCCGCTGAATTGCGTGCCCCCTGTTTATAAACCTACTAATCGGGCAAAATATTCCAGGGGTGGTAAATACCAGGAATGAAAGCCGTCTTTGTTTTGAAGAGTTTTATGTCGATTTCACAAAACCCTCTCAAATCCTGCCTTTCTCAGGCAAGCAATTTTGCAGCTTCTGAAATGATTTCCAAATTGCCAATACAGTAGTCGTGTTGTGTTGTGTGTCTACGCGGACGGCCTCTCCGACAATGGGGCCAAGGAACCGAGAAAGCACAGTCATTTATGGTTTGCCTCAGTCGTGGATAATTGAGGCCTGTTTTGTCATTTTCGGAGCAATTTCCAGCCTAAGAGGTCATTCAGCCCATCTGCTCCATTGAAGGGAAAGTCCGTAAACTCAATGAGTTCTTGTTGACACACAAAACAGCTGAGTTGAGGACATGTTCCAGTCTTTTTACAGTTGAAAAAATTCCGTGTCGTGCTTATTTTCTCCTGGGGGAGGGGGAAGAGGAGGATAAAGGAGTTTCTTTTATGGCTGTCTTGCAGTGTTATTTTTTTTAGGCTGTGTGGGTGTTTTCCATCCCTCGAGACTGAATATAACCCCAAAACGGTTAGAAAATGGTCCCATACATTTCTTTGTGAGGAGAATGAGCCCTGAATTTTAACGGGGACCGTTATGGATTGAACTCTGCCCGCGCGCGCGCGCGCGCGTGTGTGTGAGAGAGAGAGAGAGAGTGAGGTTGGGTGGTTCAACTTGTGGCCTGTGGATCAATTTAATTGCCCCCCACCCCCATTTCATCTGTCCCATCCGCTCCCTCCTTAACCCCTGTGTTACGTTTCTGAAAGGGAAACGCAAAAATATTGCTTATGGGGCCCGCAGATGTTTCGCAAATGGGGCATCTGGCTCTCGGCAGCCAAAAGGTTGGACCTCCCAATCCTGTTATAACCTACCCAGTAAACCCTTTCAGTAAACCCACAGTTCCCTCCGCCTCGCTCCTTCCCTCCTCCCTCCCTCCCTCGCCTCTTTCAAGGCCCGTCTCAAGACCTTCCTTGCTCAGGTTCGAAACACCGGTTGTCCAGCGCCTCGGATTGTCCTCCCGACGTGAATGGCGCTATGTAAATGGAATTTTGTTGTTGTTGTTCCTCTTCGACCGCACCTTTGGTCACCCTCCACCCTCCCCGACTCCAGCCCTCCTGATCCCCAACCCCCCCCCCCCCCCCAGCTCAGATCCACACCCCTGCCTGTCCAGCGCCTTGGGCCGTGCTCCCAACGCGAAAGGTGCTGTGTGAATGTAACTTGTTGTTGTTGTTGAAGTAGTTTGACCTGATCGGGTGTTACATCAAATCGAAGGAGTATCATCTACCATTCTGAGCGAGAGACCTTGACTTCCGCCATGCTCTTGTTATATACGTACGTAACTTTCCAACGTGCTGCTGTGGTCAGAGCTCAGCTCTGATGTTATCCTGGCGGTATTCACCTTCGGGTTCAGCTTGATTGCTTTGGTTGCTGTCTGTTCACTGGTGTGAGTGTGTGTGTGAGTGTGTGCGTGTGCGTGGCTTTGCACCTGTAATTCCCTCTGCAGACTGCAGTCATAAACCGCAAGCAGACTTTGCTGCTATGTGTGTTGTCTCGCCCACAGCCTCACCAGCTGCCGCTGTTTAGATTACGTTTTTTTTTTCTGGTGCTTCATCACTTTCCATCTGCTGAGCAAAATAGTGTGAATTTTTTATATCACAAGGGGGCTTCATTTAGCTCTTCATAATTAGCCATTGTGGTGTCCTGTAGCTCAGCGGTTACAACACTCGCTTCGCACTTGCCCATCCAACTTTATTGAGAATTTAGAGACACCGCGACGTGAAAGGCGTTGCCTAATCTAAATTGTGTCGTGCATTCTGACTGCTTTGCTCAAACCCGTTCATTTTGTTTTGCACAGGACCCCGCTGGTATCTTTGAGTTGGTGGAAGTTGTGGGAAATGGCACCTACGGACAAGTATACAAGGTAAAAAGAAAGTTTTCTCTGAACCTTTTATCACCCGGAACATATTTATTTATCCAATGAAATGTCAAGTCAACCGTTTTTGCAGTACTGGGTTCACCCGAAAGGCACTATGTCAAGCTCGACGATTATCAGGATTATTTGCCCCGATCATGTGGAACTCCCTGCCTCAATCGCTCTGCCTTGCCCTTCTCTTTGCCCGTCATCTCCCCTTTCTTCTGGATTTGTGTCAAATTAATATTGGTTAGTACGCTCGCCTCGCACGCGAGAGGACCTGGGTTCAATTCCCAGGCAGGGTGAAACATTAGGCAGGTTTTGTTACTCCCCACGCCTCTACTTACCCAGCAGTAAATAGCAACCCGTTGTTTGTTAATTGACAGGTCACGTTTCCGGGGGTAGTAATCCTTCTAAAAAATATATAATACTTTAGGCACTCAATCCACAACTGTGGGACACTGCAGTGTGCAATTGGCTGCTGTGTTTCGCCCCAAAAAAGTACAGTCAGTTCACTTTACAGTCGATTCTGTGAAGCGCTTTGATATGTTTCGAAGCCGTAATAAGGCTCTATATCAAAGGCAAGGATTGTTATTATTATAAATTCCACCATTGTTAAAGCGTTCCCACACTAACCCCGTGAAGGTCGCTGTATGTAAACTCAAGCAGTTGTATTCTTTTCCGAATACTCAAACGATCCATAAACTCTTTCGCTGCTGAAACCACTTACGCGTGGCAATAACCAGTTTTGTTTGAACCAGCTTTGAGGCAGAAATGTGGACATCAATGACGTGTGAAATTTGCATTTAAAAACATCAACTCTGCGCTGTTCGACACAGTTGCGTAACTCTTAAAGCCGGTATAGGGTTTGCACAAGCAAGTGGCAAGCTGTCTAAACTTATGACTTGTTCCCAGAGGATACAGGAAATGGGATGATGATTGTGCTGCTGCAACAGGGCGCGAGTCCCATGTGCTTGCCTTGTTTTTTTTAAAAAAAATATATTTTGGTCACTCAATCCACGACTGTTTATGGGGCACTGCAGTGCGCAATTGCCTGCTGCGTTTTCACCCCCAGAAATACACAGTCGATTCACTTTGCAGTATATTCTGTGAAGCGTCTTGAGACGTCTCGATGACGTGATAAGGCGCTATATCAAATGCAAGGATTATTATTATTATTGCCTCATAATCCCTCAAAATCGCTGTTCCTGGATTTCAAAGAATCTCTTGTTGGGAGACGAGGTGATTTCGGCCAGATGTTTACACCGAACCTTTGTGAGGTCCTGAGACCTGGCGTTTTGCGACAAAGGAGGAGGTAATTCGGCAACAACTTGGATTTACGCAAGCACTCTGAGACACTACCCTACGTGAGAGGCGCTATGACTATATAACTGCAAGCTGTTGTTGCCGTGTCAAATGCAAAGGTTATTATTTTATCACTATCACATGGGCTGCACATTTCACCCTGTGAGTTTCAGTTGTCTCAGGTTACGCAACGTGTTTTGCTAAGTGATTTTTGTTCTATTGTCTTCCTTCCTGGCTTTGTTGTTTGAACGCTAACCTTGCCAAAGGGGAAATGTCGGTTGCAGGCGGTATCTGGCAAACTGGCCCAATAATGGCTGATGTCGGACAAAAGCCACTTCAAGTGGTTGTAGACAAGCCCTTTAAACCCCCATCACTGGCTTCTCGATGGGTAATTTCTTGGTTATTATATAAATAACGGTGTAGTCTATAATTTGCCCTTACTGTTCAATAGCCCTTGGCTCTTGCCAACCTGCACTTAATGTTCTCCAGAGTCAGGTAAGCAGGGTGCATCCCTCCAGCGAGAGAGAATGCTCATTCAAAAAAAAATTATTAAAATAAAAAGCACATTCAAAAAATATATAATAATAATTTGGTCACTCGATCCATGACTGTTTGTGGGGCGCTGCTGTGTGTAATTGGCTGCCACGTTTCACCCACAAAATATATAATCAATTCACTTTGCAGTATATTCTGTCAATATTTTTTTGTGGGCGGAACACCGCAGCCAATCGCACACAGCGATGCCCCACAAACAGCCATGGATTGAGTGACCAAATTATTATTATTTCTTTTTTGAAGGAATTATTACCCCCGGTTAAGTGATCAGCCAATTGACTAACAATCCGGCTCTACTTACTGCTAGGTAAACAGAGGAGGGTGTGCGTGGAGCAAGAAACCTGTCAGGCTTCGCGCTGACCTGACCCACCTGGGAATCGAAACTGGGTCCTCTCGCTTGCGAGGCGAGTGCGCTGATCAATATGCTGCAGGACTCCACACCTACAGGACTAGTTTCTTTGCAAAGTGCTTTTTATTTTGGTGCAGTGATGCTATACGTCCCCAAAGGGTTAAGGCTAGCCGAGGAAAATAAAAAAAAACACTGCGTCCCTGAACTGCACTGCAGTATTTTTAGAAGCAACTGCGAAATGGAGTTTCTTTTTTAAAAAAGGACAGCATTGCTGCACGAATTGCTTGCAGAAAATACTTCCTTTCAAAGGAGAATTTATATAATGTAGTTACTTCTGAAATGAGACCACAGAGGCTTTAATAATAATAATAATCCCGGTATTCGATATAGCACCTTATCACGTCTCAAGCACTTCACAGAATATACTGTAAAGTGTAGGGACTGTGCATTTTGTGGGCGAAACGCGGCAGCCAATTGCGCACAGCAGTCACAAACAGTCGTGGATTGAATGACCAAATTATTATACTTTTTTTTGAGGGATTATTACCCCCAGAAAGCAATCCGCCAATCGACCAACAACCGGGTTCCTGCGTGTAAGGAAACTAGCCTAGCATTTCGCCCTGCCTGGGAATCGAACCCGGGTCCTCTCGCTTGCAAGGCAAGTGCTCTAACCACTAAGCTACAGGACTCCACAAGTAAAGATCTGTTCAAGCGCGATTTCCCCACCAAAACCACTTTTGCTGTAAGATGGGCCTGAAACGCGGCATGCCATTCTGATCACTGGTCTGCCTTGAGACGTTCTTTCATGTGAAAGGCATTCTGCAAATGCAAGTCGTTGCTCGGATATCAATGTCCGTTGATAGCTGCCGTGATTCCTTCCTTCCTCTTTAGGGAATCCTCCGACTCACCTCCTGTTAACCCTGCAAGCCAAAGCCTTAACGGGTAGGGTGGTCCTAGCTGGACAAGGCTCAGTTGGTGGCACACTCACCTCTGAGTCAGAAGGTTGTGGGTTGAAGCCACACGACAGGACTTGGAACTCACTTAGTCTAGTCTGAAGCTCCAATGCAGTGTTTAAGTGCCGACCTTCAGGCGAGACATTAAACCTCTGTCCCACCTCTGTCCAGGTAGACGTCAAACATTTCCCGCGGCACTCTTCGAAGGGAGTGTCTCTCTCCCAGTTACCTGGCCAACAGTCCCCCAAATAAAAATTGTTTGTTTGTTTCATTGCTGTGTGCAATTGGGGCTTTTGCATTTAGCACAAATACAGTCACTACATTTTATAGTATATCCTGCGAATGGCTTTTGAGACGTCTCGACGGCATGAGAAGGTGCTTTATCAAGTGCAAAGATTATTATTTATTGAGTCCAGGTTAATTAATAATCATAATAATAATTGTTATTATTACTGCGTTTGATGGAGCGCCTTATCACGTCTGTAAAGTGAATTGCCTATTTTGTGGGCGAAATGCGGCAGCCAATTGCGTGCGTGTGTGTATAAGGTTTCTCCCCGACTTGACCTTCCCAGGAATCGATCCGTTTCGATCAAATAGTCGGCGGGTTTCAAATGAACCCCGGATAATCTTGCTACGAAATCTCTGCGCTCTATTCATCGAGGCCTCTTGAGATTTTGTAAGCACCGTATCCCTCTCCGAACTCTTACTCGCTTTCAGTCTTTCCCTGTGTTAATAATCCTTGCGTGTGATAGAGAAGTTTATGTCGAAACGTCTTGGAGGGGGTTTCAGAGATTTCTGTGAAGTGCAGCGATTGTTTGTAGGTGAATGTATTCCACTTGATCCGTGTCAAAAGTAATTCCCGTGTGGGGCAACGGAGCCCTGGCAGCTGAATCCAGTCGGTTCTCTTTAAAGTCTTGCTGTCTGCAGTTTAGTCGAGTTGACTTACGCTGAAATCATTTTACATGGCGGAGCATAGAGGGCGATCGCTAATGAGTCCCACTCTCTTCACACACAGTATTCCCTGGTGAATCTCCTTTCGGCTTCAACCCGCCTCGCTCTTCCTCACAGACTCTCTGCTCCTTTCGCTGTGGTTTTGCTCAACTAACATGTGGTTCCTGTGGTGCTAAAGCAGGAAGTTGTATCCCCCACCTTCAGATTTGTTTGACTCTGTGCTGCCGCTTTTAGTATTTATTAATAATAATCCTAATCATAATAATAATCCTATCATTTGATATCGCGCCCGATCTCGTCTTTGAGACGTCTCAAAGCGCATCATCGGATATACTGCAAAGTGGAGTGACTGTGGATCTTGTGGGGCAAATGCGGCAGCCAATTGTGCGCAGCAGTGACCCATAAACAGTCATGGATTGAGTGACCAAATGATCATTTTTTTTGAAGGGATTAATACCTGCGAAAAAGCGATCCACCAATCAACTGACAATCAGGATCCTATTTACTGCCAGGTAAACAGCAGTAAATAGTGTGTGTGGAGTAAGGAAGGTTGCCTAACATTTCGCCCTTCCTGGGAATCGAACCCAGGTCCTCTCGCTTGCGAGGCGAGTGCTCTTAACCGCTTCGCTGCAGGACTCCACACTAACTAAAGCTTCCATCAACCAAAGTGGAGCTACGCAAACTTGCTTTCAGGGCAAGCTTAAAGACCAGAGAACATGTTGGTGACATCCAACCTTACTGGTTCTATGTGCCTCGCACCTGCATTAGTTAAGCAAGCTGCGGAGAATTTCCCCTGGTATTGAAAGTGCTACAGAATTGCTGCCTTGACAGTGTTTTGAGGTTTGTTTTATTTGGCAAATTTCCACTCATGCCTGGAACCAGCATTGTTCTGCCCAGTTGACGCTCAGGAAGAGCGATTTTAATGTAATCGCTTCTGCAACCCGGCGATGGGTGACCTATTTTATTTCAAAGAGATATCACAGGCAGCCTGGCTCAGTCGCCGTGCGTATCACCTGGCTCAGTCCCCATGTGTCAGCCTCGTTCAGTCACCAGGAGTGGAGGGGATGAGGGACAAGCAGGAGGCCGGAGCCAACCGAGCGTCGCCAGCGGGTAGTGGAGTGGGGGCTAAGCAGGTCGGAGAGGTAGGGAGGTGCCAGGGCGTGAAGGGATTTGAAGACGAGCGAGAGGAGCTTGAAATCAAAGGGAGTTTCCCTCTCCGAATGTCCAGGCCATCAACCCTGGAATGTGCTCTAATCTCACTGTGAGTCATGGCAGGAGCCAATCTGATCTGAAGTGATTATTCTCTGACTCTGTAGTTTCGCAGAGTACAGTGGGATCAAAGGTAAAGAAATCATCTGTCGTGGAGTCAAAGATCAGTGAGGAGGCAGAGCCTTAAAAAAAAATGCACCTAGTGAGTGATTCAGTGGGTTTGCAACACTACATGGCGTCCTGTAGCTCAGCGGTTAGCTCGCGAGCCGAGAGGGCCCAGGTTCGATTCCCGGGCGGGTCAGTTCGTGGGCGAAACCTTACACAAGTTTCCTTACTCCACGGTCTACCTCGCAGGAAGAAGGAACCCCATTGTTGGTCGATTGGGGGGAATCGCTTTCCGGGGTTAATATTCCCTCCAAAGAAGATAATTTGGTCACTCGATCCACGGGGTTCGTGGGACGTTGCCGTGTGCAGTTGGCTGCTGCGTTTCGCCCACAAAATATATACGGTCAATTCACTTTACAGTGTATTCTGTAAAGCGCTTTGAGACGTCTCGAAGACGTGTTAAGGCGCTGTATTAAATTCAAGGATTGTTATATTACCGACGCACCAGACCAGACGATTGGGTGGTGATGATGGTGCTGCTGGTGTTTACTCTGGAAGTGACGTCAGTGGCACAACATGTGGAAGACAACAACTTGCATTTACACAGCGTCACCTCACGCAGGATAGCGCTTGACAAGTGGCGGAGCACGATGCCGAGCTGGGGGGGGGGGCAGAGGGAGGTGATGTAGGTCACCATCTGGCTTATAACGTGGTGCTAACACATGGACCCGGCTGACTCTGCCTTCAGCCTCTCTGCCCCCACCCTCCGTAGCATCATCCCACGGTCCCTTCGCCTCGCTCCCTCCCTCGCCTCCTTCAAGGCCCGTCTCAAGATGCTCTTCGGCCAACCGTGCCTTCGGTCACCCTCCTACCCCTACCCTCCCCGCCCACCCCGACCCCTCCTGATCCCAACCCCCAGTTCGGGTCCAAATCCCTGACTGTCCGGGGCCTTGGGACATCCTCCCGACGTGGATGTGTAAGTGTCGTTTGTTGTTGTTTGGCGTGTTATTTCCTCTTATGAGCAGTTTGTGCTTGTGATGGTTTCAGAGCGACTTACAATACAAAAGAATCAGATTCTGCACAATATGGCCTCTGTAAATGAACCAGCTGGGAATTATATAAGCATTGGGCTCTGCTTCACTTGCTTTTAGAGACGAGACACTTGGCCAGGAGACAAATCGGGTTTCAATTGGTTTACATTTTTAAAAAGCTTAGTGAATTTTAAGATGGCAAAAGCTTCAAGTAAGCAGCCTGATTAATTGACGTCTCTTCTTCTTTGTTTGTTGCCGCATATTTGCTGCCACGTTTGCCCACGAGATGTCTCAAAGCGCTTCACGGAATCCCACCGTGCGTTGAAACGTCTCAAAGTGATTCACGGAATATACTGCAAAGTGCAGTGACTGTATTTTGTGGGCGACATGTTCCAGTTCTTACGTTCAAGCGCTCCGGGACGCTATTTCCGTGTGAAGGGCGCTATATAAATGCATGTTGTTGTTGTTGTTGTTGTTTGGGCCGTTCTTCCTCCCAAGATCTCGCTCGCTGCATAGTGGGAAGGATTCCTTTCGATCCGTGCTGGGTAGACCAGTAAATGCCAGTTGAATCATGTGATGTCTGCACTGCAGTCTCTTCTCCACAGATGCAGTCAGCCTCAAGTGTGCGTGTGGTGTGTGTTTGTGCGCTTCGCTCTTCAGGGATTGCAATAAAAACCCGTGTTATGACTTTTCGGTCGGCGTGACTCACTCGTCTTCAAATCACTCGATTCCCTCGCACCTCCCTACCTCTCCGACCTGCTTGCCCACCCACCCATCCCACCCGTTCCACCACCCGTTGCCTCCGCTCGGCTGGCTCCGGCCTCCTGTTTGTCCCTCGTCCCACCCATCGGCGGCCGTGCCCTCAGCCACTACGCTCCGAAACTCTGGAACTCTCTCCCTCGATCCCTCCAGCTACCCCCCCCCTCCCTATCTCCCCCTTTCAAACCTCACCTAAAGACTTTTCTTTTTGATCGTGCTTACGGTCACCTCCCCCCTCCCTCACCCCCTGACTCGATGTCAGACTCCCTCTGCCCCTGGCCTACCCAGGAATCTAACCCAGGTCCTCTGACTTGCGAGGCGAGTGCTCTAACCACTAGGCCACGGGATTCAATGTTGCGTAAGTCAGATGGATGCATTTTCAATGTGTTTCAACAAGTTCACATGTTATGCAGGCAACAAGGAACCTTGTGTTTATTGAGCTCTGTGGGGATGAGTCCTGTAGCTTAGTGGTTAGAGCACTCGCCTCGCAAGCAAGACGATCTGGGTTTGATTCCTGGCAGAGCAAAACTTTTGCGGGGGTAATAATCCCTTCCAAAAATAAAATAATTTGATCACTCAATCCACGACTGTTTGTGGGACACTGCTGTGCGCAATTGGCTGCCACATTTCTCCTACCAAAATACAGTTACTCCCTCCTTATATCCTGTGAAGCGCTTTGAGACGTCTCGAAAACATAAGACACTGTATCAAATGCAAGGATTATTATGATGATGATGAGCAGCCGGTACCTGCAGGTCTGTTCTCTCCAAATAGCCAGAGATAATCTGACATCTTGTTCCATCTTGTTTCCCTCTTCCCAGGGTCGACATGTCAAAACAGGGCAGCTCGCAGCGATCAAAGTCATGGATGTCACGGAGGTAAGCCCACCGTTTGGTTGTAAGCGTTCTAACAGACCTTTGGTCACTTCTGGGCGGGACTGCCCTCAACGCAGGGGTTGTCCTGGATGCTGGGACCAGCACTGTTTTTGGTGAGCAGTTGTCATTAACTTTCCATTAGCCCAAGATGCCTCAATGGATAACTGGCAAGTGCTTTGTTCACCTCACGGTCCCTCCACTGGCCTCCTCTCTCCCCACCGTTAATACCTGCCTAAAGCCCCTTCTTAATATACAATTTATCCCCCCACTCGCCTCTTTCAAGGACCCAACTCAAGACTACTTTGCGACCGCACCTTCGGTCAACCCCCCCCATCCCAACCTCCACCTCCTCCTGATCCCTACCCCCAGCTCGGGTGCAAATCCATGACTGTCCTCTCTCCTCAAAACAGTACCCGTTGCCTTCGTTCCTCCGGGTCTGGCCTCCTCCGAGTCCTCCGCTCCACCTTCGGCGGCCGGCCGTGCCTTCAGCCACTATGCCTCTGGAACTGCCTTCCTCACTCCCTTCGTCTCGCTCCCTCCCTTCCCATTTTCAGGTCTCTGCTGAAGACCTTTTTGGCTGCGCCTTTGGTCACCTTCCCTCCCCACCCTCCCCCTGGCTCAGTCCCAGGATCCATTACTGTAAAGCGCTCTGAGGCGCCGTCCGGGGTGGAGGGCGCTATATAAATCCAAGTTGTTGTTCTTGTTCAGCGCCTCCCAACGTGAAAGGCGCCGTGTAAATGTAATGTGTTGTTGTTGTTTTCTTTTCGACCGCACTTTCTAGTCACCTCAGCGCATATGAAGTACATTGAGACATCTTCCTGACGTGGAAGAGCTATGCAAATGTTGTTTTGTCCCCACTGCCTTTTATTCACACTTTGCCCAGCTTTGATCTGCTGCGAAGCGAATCTCGCAATCGTTGTGGTTTTGTGACTTCAAATCCGTTTTGAGAATCAAATTGCTTTTGAGGCCTGCAATGTGGTAAAGGGGAACTTCACCCACATGTGTGAAACCCGTGTTGTCATTGATCCGAGATAACTTTTGGGGTGAGCGAGAGAGAGAGAGATTTATTGGGGGAGGGATGAGTCGAGTGTCTGTGACACGGGAAAGCCATCACCGTCGCTTAAGCGTCTCCAAAACCAAGCTGAGAATTCTACGCACCCACCTACATATAGAAATTCCTGAAATAGATGGTTGTACTGGAATGCTCACTCTCTCTTTCCCTGGAGGGACACATCCTGGTTACCTAATTCCGAAGAGTATTAGGCGCAGGTTGACGAGAGCCAAGGCTTGGGGGTGGGGTGGGGGGAGCCCAGAGTGTGAGTTGGGGGTAACTGCTACACCTTCCTTTTCGACCGTGCTTACAGTCACCTCCACGGGCGGGGGGGGAGGGGGTTGGGGGTAAATAATCCCTTCAAAAGAAATTCTAGCAAAAAAATAATTTTTCGATCACTCAGTTGACTGTTTGTGGGCCACTGCTGTGCGCAATTGGCTGCCGCATTTGCTCACAAAATATACAGTCACAACACTTCACAGTGTGTCCTGTGAAGGGCTTGGAGACGTCGCAATGGCCTGATTAGGCGCTGCATCAAACGAAAGGATTATCATCACCAGCAATCTGCAGAGTTATTTGCTGGTTACTCAGCGCATTGATTGCTCGTGGGATAAAACTGGTCGCTGGTGAGGTGAAAGCATCAGGGCTGAAGTGGTGATTCACCACCAAGTGGGCACCTTTGACGATTACGTTGGCTGTCTGCTTTTACCTCGGGAATGATTCACACTGTGTGGCCACTGAGTTTAAACCCAGCACGTTCTCTCTAATTGCTGCTTGTTAGTCATCATTTCGAAGCCCAGCTTTGAAGCCACAACCCGATTTTTATTTGCTCACAACCCCACACCCGACCAAACTGGCCTCTCTTTTAAAATACACACACATATATATATATTAGAACATAATAATATAATCATAATCCTTGCGTTCGATATCGAGTCTTATCGCGTCTTCCGAGATGTCTCAACGACATCTCTCTCCCGGTGTCCTGTCCAAACAATAAAAATAATAATTATTATCATTATTATTATCCTATCTCAAAGCGCTTCACAGAATGTACTGTAAAGTGAATTGACTGTACAATCCACCCCATCACAAAAAAATCATTTGTTTCATTTCATGGCTGTGTGTGGGACGCCGATCGATGTGTGCAGCTGCGTTTGGCTGCAAAATGCACAGTCACTGCACTTTACATTATATCCTGTGAAGCACTTTGAGACGTCTCAACAGCGTGATAAACTGCTATATCAAATACGAGGATTATTACTAGTATTATTGTCATATTAAACGTACGGCCCCAACTGCCAGGACACTCAGATTCAACGCATGAGCACACGCCAGCATCTGACAGTAAACACTGCCGCAGTAATAGTTACTACACCTCAAAATAACCGAAATCGCTTTAAGGCTCTGGTAAAATAAATAATATTCATTGCATTTTATATGGAGCCTTTCACGTTGGGAGGACGCCTCGAAGAGCCTCATAGGATCTTCTGTAAAGCGTAGAGACTGTGTGTTTTGAAAGGCAAACGTAACGGCATCTTAATAATAATCTTTGCGTTTGGTACGGCGGCTTATCGCGTCTGCGAGACGTCTCGCAGCGCTTCACGGGATACACTGTGAAGTGAATTGAATGTCTATTGTGCCTGCTTCCCGTAGGATGAAGAAGAAGAGATCAAGCAGGAGATTAACATGCTGAAGAAGTACTCACACCACCGAAACATAGCGACTTACTATGGGGCCTTCATCAAAAAGAGCCCTCCAGGACACGACGATCAACTCTGGGTAAGGAGACGCGTCTAACGTGCAGCTTTCGTTTGTGTAGCTTGCGTGAGGACCTCACCTTTTGACCGTCACCTCTCTCAGGTCAGATTCGGCCACTGTCAAGCGCTTGACACTAACCCGCGTGAAGGGAGCTACATAAATGAAAGCTGTTGTGAATGTATGGAACTCGCTACCCCAAAGGGCTGTTGACGCTCAGTCCTTGAACATATTCAAGACTGAGATAGATAGATTTCTTATTGCAAAAGGGATTAAGGGATATGGGGATAAGGCAGGGTCAGGTTATCAGCTGGAGATAGATTAGAAGATCAGCCATGATTGAATGGCGGGGCAGGCTCGAAGGGCCGAATGGCCTACTCCTGCTCCTACATGTTATGTTAGAGGAAGGAATGCCCTTGTGGCTACTGAAGCTTTTAAGGCCAGAGCATTTGAAAAGGAATTGGATCCAAAGCTTTGATGAGGAACGAAGTGGAAGATTAAAGGGGAAAGGTGGGCGGGGGGGGGGAGAGAGAGAGAGCAGGGAATGGGGTTAGAGTAGAGAGCTCCAGTGTGGGGAACGAGCCCCAGCAATGAATTGGGGTGATAGTGGGGATGTGAGTGAGCGCCAGCAGAGAAGTGTTACAATGGGGGGGGAAAGGTTTCAGAGCGGGAGCTCTTATCCAGGCTGTGCCTTGTCTCGCCCCTTCTCTAGCTGGTGATGGAGTTCTGCGGGGCTGGATCTGTGACGGACCTGGTGAAGAACACTAAAGGAAATGCTCTAAAAGAAGAGTGGATTGCCTACATCTGCCGGGAAATCTTGAGGGTAAGCCTTGCTCAGCGGGCTCCGGCCTGCTCCACGTCCCCCGCCCTGCCCGCCCTACCATCGGTGTTCGGGCCTTCAACCTCTCCGCCCCCACCCCCCGACCCCGCCCCACCCTTTGGCACTCCATCCCACAGTCCCTCCACCTCGCTCCCTCCTTCCCTTCCTTCAAGGTACCTCTCGTAAACCCTCCTCTTCAACCAACCGCACCTTCGGTCACCCTCCTACTCTCTCCCCCGACCCCTGCCCTCCAACCCTCCCGATGAGGCTGTTTCAAATGCAATAATAATAATAATAATCTTATTATTGAAGAGATTTGACGTGAAGTGTCTTTTCTCCCCCACTCCCTGCTCCCTTAGGGATTGACACATCTACACGCACACAAAGTCATTCACAGAGACATCAAGGGACAGAATGTCTTACTGACGGAAAACGCTGAGGTGAAGCTAGGTGAGTGCCCTCCCCTGGCAGACGTTAGAATAAGGAGCACTCTTATGGACTAGTCACTGGTGACGGCATTACCCGCGATTTGTAAAGGGAACGTCTTCTGTAGTCTCAACAACTCGGTGTTTCACTATGGAAGGGTTTGGCGGGGTGGGTGAGGGAGTTATTTGAGCCGTGTCTGCTGGTGCTCGCGACTCTTAATCCCATTCCCTTGCTCTCTCTCTCTCTTCCCCCCCACCCCCCTTACATCGTGTCTATGCTGGTGCTCGCTCCCCCCACACGCTGGAGCTCTCACCTCTAACCCCCTCCGTTCTCCTGCTCTCTCTCCCTGTTTTTTGTTGGGCTACATTGTGCTCGATGGACACTCTGAACAATGGAATGATGGGTCTCTCTCTCTATCTCTCTCTCTCTCTCTCCCTCTCTCTCTCTCTCTCTCTCTCTCTCTGCAGTTGACTTTGGTGTGAGTGCTCAGCTGGACCGGACAGTGGGAAGAAGAAACACTTTCATCGGGACCCCATACTGGATGGCACCCGAAGTAATAGCGTGCGATGAGAACCCAGACGCCACCTATGACTACAGGGTACGTGGGCAGCTGAGCTCAGGCCAGTGGTCAGAGCACTCGCCCCGCAAGCGAGAGGACCTGGGTTCCGTTCCAAAGCCGGGTGAAATGTTGGGCACGTTTCCTTGCGCCAGACACACGCGCACACACACATGCGCGCGCACCTCTCCACGTTACAGTGTATCCCTGCGAAGCGCTTTGAGACGTCACAAAGACCTGATAAGGCACTATATCAAATGCAAGGTTTATTATTATTAATACTAATTGAGACTGTATTTGGTCGGCGAAACTCGCCAGCCAGTTGCGCACAGCGGTGTCCCACAAACTGTCGTTAATAATAATGATCATAATAGCCTCCTAATAATAATAGTGCTGTTAATAATAACTGCCATAGATCTCGAGAGTGCCAAAACATCTGCTTTTGAACTCAACGCATGTTGTTTTTCTTTGCAGAGTGACATTTGGTCTTTGGGAATCACAGCCATTGAAATGGCAGAGGGTGCACCACGTAAGTATTTCCTTGGACGGGAGTGGGAGATGAAGACAGAAATGTCACAGCTCGTTGACTCTTCCCCTCCCTCACCCCCACCCACCTACCAGCCCCTTCCCCAGCCTGGGAGCAAGAGGGGAAACTGAATAGGAGTATCAGTGGAGGGGTGGTGGGGTGTCATTTACACTCTTGTAATTAAATTACGGAATGAACTGGAGCCCTGTAGCATAGTGGCAAGCGAGAGGATCCAGGTTCGATTCCTGGGCGGGTCAGGTCAGGATGAAACCTTAGGCAAGTTTCCTCACACACACACACACACACACCCCTCTGTTTACCAGCAGTAAGCCGGAACCTGCTTGTTAGTCGATTGGCGGATCGCTTTACCAGGGGATAATAAACCCTCCACAAAGAATAATTTGGTCACTCAATCCACGACTGTTTGTGAGACGTCACTGTGCGCAATTGGCTGCCGCGTTTCACCCACAAAACACGCAGTCACTACACTTTACGGTATGCTCCGTGAAGTTGAAGTGTCTCGATGTGATAAGGCGCTGTATCAAATGCAAGGATTATTATTATTGCTATAATTGAAGTATGGAATTAAAAGCGAAAAGGGGATGGTTTCTGACTCTGGGCCCATTCGGATGGCGCTAATGCCAAATTATTAGTAATAACATTATTACCTACAAATGCTGGTAATTTGTTTACCTTTTGCAATTCATAAATAGTGCGTTTCGTCCACCAAAATACCTTAGAGCTATATTGGAACCATTTAGATTTACAGCACAGAAGGCGGCCACAAAATACACAGTCACTCCCCTTTACAGTATATTCAGTGAAGCGCTTTGAGACGTCTCAGCGACGTGATAAGGAGCTGTGTCCAAACTCGAGGATTATTATTATAGTAAATCCCTTTTGAGACATATACACTGGTTACCAAATGCAAGGCTGAGGATCACACCCAGTTATTTCAGCTGAATAACTCCACATAAGAAACGAGTCTCAGTAGGTGGGGGGGCAGGGGGGGTTGTATAAATTGCTGTTTCTATTGAATGTCAGTTTGTGATATCCTATGTTTTTTTTCCCCTCCTTTATTTTCTCCTTTTCCCCCCCACCCCCCTCTTTTCTGTTTCACCTCAGCTCTGTGTGATATGCATCCAATGCGGGCCTTGTTTCTTATCCCAAGAAACCCCCCTCCCAGGTTAAAATCTAAGAAATGGTAAGTGATTTATTTATTTTGGGGGGGGGTGGGGGGTCAGCCGGGTGTCTCCCACACACACACACACGCGCACACGCACGCACACGCACGGAAACCCATCACTACAAATCCTGTGAAGTGCTTTGAGACGTACTCCTTGTGTTAAGTGAAATACTACTATCGGAGTCCCTGTAGCACAGGGGTGAGAGCCCTCGCTTCGCAAGCGAGAGGACCCGGGTTCGATTCCCGGGCGGGTCGGGTTAGGGCGAAATCTTAGGCAAGTTTCCTTACTGCACACGCGCACACACGCACACACATACACACACACACGCCTGTTTTACCAGCAGTAAATCTGGTATCTGCTCCTGAGAACTTGGCACAGAGCCGTATTATCAGCTGCTTCAGAACCGCCCACTGCTGCTGGACGTGCGTCTGTCCCTGCGCGCGCGCGTGTGTGTGTTGTGTTGTGTGCGCGCGTGGTGTGTGTGTGCGCGAGCGTGCGCGCGCTGTGTGCGCGCGTGGTGTGTGTGTGCGAGCGTGCGTGCGTGCGCGCGCGCGCGTGTGTGTGTTGTGTTGTGTGCGCGGCGTGGTGTGTTGTGTGCGCGAGCGTGCGCACGGCGTGTGGCGCGTGGTGTGTGTGTGCGAGCGTGCGTGCGCGAGCGCGCGTGTGTTGTGTGTGGAGAAGAAATCTTTTTTTTTTCAATTCTGTCGCCACCTGGTGGCCAGCTGAACCGTAGAAACAGGAGGAGGCCATTCAGCCCCTCGAGCCTGTTCCGACGTTCTATAAGATTGCGGCTGACCTGTACCTCAAGTCCAGTGATACCCGCCTGTGCCCCGTATCCCCTAATACCCTGACCTAACAAATGGCTCCTTCAAATAATAATAAAAATAATAATCATAATAATAATAAATTGATCACTCAATCTACGGCTGTTTGTGGGACGCTGCTGTGCGCAACTGGCTGCCGCGTTTCGCCCACAAAACACACAGTCGATTCGCTTCACAGCGCATCTGTCGCTGCCTTGGGACGTCCTCTCGACGTGGAAGGCAGACGCTGTGTAAATGTCGTTTGCCGTTGCTGAGGAACTCTAGACCACTCTTCCTCAATCCCTCTGCCTTGCTCCCTTCCTTCCCCATCTGCGGGTCGCGCCATAAGACTTCCCCCTTGCTTCTCCTCCCCCCCACCCCCACGGCCCAGCATTGTGTCAAACGCTCTGACGTTACCCAGCGTGGGGGGGGGGCTGCGAAAATGCAAGTTGTTGTGCTCCCGAACCGTGTGTATAAATGTAACGTGTTGTTAGTGTTGCCTAACTTTTCCTTTGCTTTTTCTGGAAAGAAACGTAATGTGGCGTATGTGTGTCTCTCTCTCTCTCTCTCCCCCTCTCTCTCTCTCTCTCTCTTCGTCAGGTCGCGGAGGTTCATAGAGTTTATCGAGAACTGTCTGATCAAAAACTACACCCAAAGACCCTCGACCGAGCAGCTCCTGAAGCACAGCTTCATTCGCGACCAGCCCACAGAGCGGCAGGTCCGCATCCAGCTCAAGGACCACATCGACAGGACTCGCAAGAAGCGGGGGGAGAAAGGTGAGGATCGTGGAGCCCGCCGAGCGTAGCGGTTAGAGCCCTCGCCTCGCGAGCCAGAGGGCTACCCGGGTTCGATTCCCGGGCGGGTCAGGTCGGGGCGAAACCTTAGGCAAGTTTCCTTACCGCACAGATACACATACGCGCACACACACGCGCAGACACACCTCTGTTTGCCTAGAGGTAAGTAGGAACCTATTTGTCGGTTGATTGACAAGGTAATCCCTTCAAAAAAAATTTTTTATAATAATAATGCGGTTGCTCAATCCACGAGGTGCGTGGTGGCGTCGCTGGGCGCAATTGGCTGCCGCGTTTCGCTCTCAAAGCGCACACAGGTCACTCCACTTGACAGTGTATCCCGGGAAGCGCTTTGAGACGTCTCGAAGGCGCTGTGTGAAATGGCGGGATTGTTATTATCATTCTTATCACTACGGAGGCCGATTGCGCCCAGCGACGTTCCCCCACAAACAGTCTGTTCAAACTGGAGGAATATTTCTTCTATTTCCACTCAACAGACGAGACGGAGTACGAGTACAGCGGCAGCGAGGAAGAGGAGGACAATGTGCACGAGGAGGGTGAACCCAGGCAAGTGAAACGTAGTCGCGGGTACGCGCTTGGAGTCGGGCAAACTTTCCTTTCCTTCCCGCACCCCCACTCTCTCCCTCTCTCTCCCTCCCACCCACCAATCCTGTCACTCTTCTTGTTTTCTCCTTCACGCCTACCGGGATCGCAAGGCAGAAGGAAACTGAGGTGAATGTCTCCCCTTGTGCGTTTCAACCCGAAAAAAAAATACACAAGCACCGCAGTGCGCTCCTGCCTGGCTGTCTGGCTGCCTGCTTGCCTGGCTGCCTGCCTGCCTGTCTGTCTGTCTGCCTGCCTGCCTTTCACGTCGGGAGGACGTCCCCAAACGCTCGGCTGGGCAGTCAGGGGTGCGGACCCGAGCTGAGCAAGGGACTTGGGATCAGGATAAGTGGAGGGGTGGGGGGGTGTTAGGAGGGTGACCGAAGGCGCTTTTGGTCAAAGAGGAAGGGTATTGAGGCAGTCCTTGAAGGGAGCAAACGAGCGAGCGAGGCGGAGGGACTGCGGGATGGAGCTCCAAAGGATGGGGGCAGAGAGGCTGAAGGCCCGACTGTCGATGGTGGGGCCGGGCTGGGCAGGGGGACATGGAGCAGGCTGGAGCCCGCTGAGCGGAGGGAGCTGACGGGTTGATTATGGGGTTAGCGGGTCACAGAGGTAGGGAGGAGCGAGGCCATGCGGTCATTGCACTTCACGGTATATTCTGTGAAGCGCTTTGAGACGGCGCAGTAAGGCGCTGTATCAAAAACAAGGATTATTATTATCATATCATTATTATTATTATTAAAGAGTTCTCCATTCAGTCCCACCTCCCCCTTTTCCCACCACCTTTTAATGTTTTATCTTTTTCAAATATTTGCCTCCGTTCCGTTTTTAAAGCGGTCATCAATTCCTCTCCAAACTCCCTCCCTCCCTTCAGTCGAACATCTTTTCCCTCTCCTCTTCTCTCTTCCCTTTCCTCGGTTCCCACTCCCATCCTGTTAAGCGCCTTGGGACGTCCTCTCAATACGAAAGGCGCCGTGCAAATGGAACGTGACATTGTATTCCAGGATTTCACTCCTAAATGGCCTGGCTCTAATTTTAAGATGATGTCACCCCCCCCCACCCCCTCCCCACCCACCAGAGGAAATAGTTTCTCCTCCTCTCGCTTGTGAGAGGACCCGGGTTCCATTCCCAGGCGAGTCCGGTCAGATCGGGGTAAGACCTTAGGCAAGTTTCCTTACTCCGCACACGTACACTCAGACGCACACACGCACACACACACGCACGCCTCTGTTTACCAGCAGTCAGTAGGAACCCGGTTGTTCCTCAATCGATTGAGGGATCGCTTTTCCGGCGGGGAATATTCCCTTCAAAACAATAATGATAATAATAATGTGGTCACTCGATCCAGGACTGTTTGTGGGGACGCTGTCTGTGCGCAATTGGCTGCCGCGTTCCACACAAGTCGCCGCTCCCGCTTTGTGGTGTATCCCGTGAAGCGCTTTCGCGACGTCTCGGGCCACGTGACGAGGCGCTGACGATACCACCCCCCACTTCATCGCCGTGCGCTCTCCGCTCGCTTCTGCAGCTCGATTGTAAACCTGCCGGGCGAGTCCACGCTCCGACGGGATTTCCTACGGCTGCAGCAGGAGAACAAGGAGCGCTCGGAGGCGGTCAGGCGCCAGCAGCAGCTGGTCCTGCCTCGCCGCGACCCAGAGGAGCACAAGCGCCAACTGCTCTCCGAGCGGCAGAAGCGCATCGAGGAACAGAAGCAGCAGCGACGCCGGCTGGAGGAGGTAAAGAGCTCCCATTTCCCTGCAGCTCGTGTCCTCTCCCGCACCAGGCTCCGTGACGTTATCATCCCCGCCCTCGCTTCAAAGCCCTCCACGGCCTCGCTCCTCCCTACCTCTGTGACCTGCTAACTCCCGTTACCAACCCGTCCACTCCCTCCGCTCTGCAGGCTCAGGCTTGCTCCCCGGCCCCACCATCGACAGTCGGGCCTTCGGTCAGCCTCCCACCCTTACTGCGTTTCCCCCACAAAATACACAGTCACTACACCCCATAGCGGATCCTGTGAAGCGCTTTGAGACGTCTCGACGACGTGATGAGGCGCCGGGTCAATCGCAAGGATTATTATCGTTAATGAATTGTTTCAGCAACAACGTCGGGAGAGGGAGGTTCGGAAGCAGCAGGAGAAGGAACATCAGCGTCAACTGGACGAGATGCAGCAGATCCGGAGAGAGGAGGAGAGGCGACAGGCAGAGAGGGAACAGGTACACCGGGCTAGACCTCGCCAGGCAACACACACACATCACTTACCCCCCCCGCCCGCCTGCCCGTCCAACGCTGACTCAGGTTCCTGGGCACACAACCACAAGTTTCCTTACTCCTCAGACACCCAAGCCTCTTGTTTCCCAGCAGTTAGTAGGAACCCGCTTGTTAGTCGATTGGCGGCTCGCTTTTCCGGGGGTAATAATCCCTCAAGAGAAAACAATAATAAATCGGTCACTCGATCCACGACTGTTTCGTGGGGACGTTGCTGGGCGCGATTGGCTGCAGTGTATGGTGACGCGCTTTGAGAAGGCGCTGAAATCAAATGCGAGGATTATTATTATTATACTTACTTACTTACCTACTTACTTACTTTTGAAGCTCCTCTGGCTGTTTGCTAACCGCTTGTTTCCTCTCTTCACCTGTTGGTCGGTCTGTCTGTTCTGATGCCTTTCCAGGAGTACATCAGGCACCAGTTAGAGGAGGAACAGAGGCAGTTAGAGATACTTCAACAGCAGCTACTGCAAGAACAGGCTTTGCTTCTGGTAAATTGTGTTGGCCACAGCTCCCTGTCACCCACTCCTCCTCATATCATTTCCCCAACTCTTTGCTCCTAACCCTATATATTATATATATATATATAATTTTTTTTAGGGGGTCATGCAACATTTTTACAGAGTGACCAGAGTTGATTGATTGTTCCATCCTTTCCATTAAAAATAAATTAATCTGACTGCCGCGGGTGGGACGTTCAGGGTTATAATAATAATATTATTATTATTACAATTAATATCTTTATATTTAGCATCCGACAATTTTATAGTAGATGAGAGGGTGTGCTGGCTCTCAGAACGAGCTCTCTGTTTAACTCCCTCCCCCCAACCACCCCCTCCCACACTTCCCCTTGCCTTTTGTCCATACATTTTCCCCCTTTCGAAATACTTCAATAGTAACAATACTAATAATAATACGGTCACTCAATCCCCGACTGTTTGTGGGACACTGCAGTCCGCAATTGACTGCCCACAAAACACGCAGTCACTACGCTTTCCGGTGTAAGCTGTGAAGCGCTTTGAGACATCTCAAGGACGTGATAAGGCACCGTATGAAATGCAAGGATTAGTATTAGTATTAGTAGTGTTATTATTGTATATAAATAGTCTCCAGTTAGACAGACTCCTGTTGTTAACGGTTGGTTAGCTGGTTATACATGTGAATTTGTTTTATGTCGATAGGTCCTGTGGACAGTCTCATAACTAACTGCCAAGTTGTACACAGGTTTGGACTTTCTTACACAGCCCCCCCCCCCCCCACCACCACTCACCCCCCCTCCCTTTCCCCCACACTCACCCCCACCCTGTCACACGCTTCCACCCCTTCCACCCCCAACCTCACACCACCCAAGATTTACTCTACATGCTCTCGTCAACTAAATATTGAATGACCCTCTTCGATCCCATTTCCATCTTGAGTTCAAGTGTAGTCTGTCGGTGTGTGTTGTGTGTGTGCCCGTGTCTCTCTTTCTTCCTCACAACCCTCCCGATACAGCACCAACAAACTCTGGTTCCACTCGGTCCAGTTCTAAGTCCGTCCGATTTGCACTGAGGCATGAGAGTGCGAATGGGTGACCCACTCAGTGTATAGAGTGAATCTGGCGTAAGCCTTTACCCCCTGGGCTGTGTGTTTGTGGGCTGAGGGTGGGGGGCGCGTGGGGTGCGAGAAGGAGAGGGAGTCGATTTATTGCAGTAAGGCCTGGATTTTTCTCCCCTTCCTCCTTTGAGCTTGTGGAGTTCTGTAGCTCAGGGGTTAGACCCCTCGCCTCGCAAGCCAGAGGGACCTGGGTTCGATTCCCGGGCGGGTCAGGTCAGGGCGAAACCTTAGGCAAGTTTCCTTACTCCCCCCGCGCACACGTTCCTACTTACTCAGCAGTTGTTAGTCGATGGGCGGATCGCTTCTCCGGGGTAATAATCCCTCCAAATAAATAATAAAAATCACTCAGTCCACGACTGTTTGTGGGGACGTCGCTGTGCGCAGTCGGCTGCCACCTTTTGTGGGCGAAATGCGGCAGCCAATTGCGCACAGCAGTGTCCCACAAACAATTGCGGTCTGGAGGCGAAGGAGGGAGAGGGAGGGAGGGAGATGGAGGAATCTTTAGTCTTAAGTGGGTACACTCTCCCCTCTGTGTGGTGAGTATAACACACTGTGAGCAGTGAGAGCAAATGAGCCATTAAAAACGGAGGGGTGGGGGATAGGAAACGTTTTGAGGGAGACCCTAACAGCCTGAGGGGTAGTGGATTCACTCTCTCTCTCTCTCTCTCTCTCTCTCTCACACACACAAACTCTGTGCTGAATGTGGGTCAGGTGAATGCAGTGCCTTTGATCCCCATTCAGTTCCACTCTGCATGCAGTCTCGCACGTGTCTGCGTCATGGTAATCCTTTGCTGCTCTTTGATGTGAACGGTTGAGTGTGGTGTCGTCGTGCAGCGACCGTGTCGTGTCGCCCCCACCCCCAAAGCTGCGAGGGAGACTTTTCCAGCGATTATTGGGATTTCCCCGATACTGAAACCCTGTGCTTCACTTCCTCCGCCTTCTCCACCTCCGCGCCTCCTCTTTGCCTGTCTTCGGATCGCGCTGTAAGACCTTCCTCTCCGACCGTGCCTACTGTGACCTCCCCGCTCTTCTCTCTCTCTCTCTCTCTCTCTCTGGCTCAGCGCCAGGCCACAGCACTGTTAAGCGCTCTGAGTCGCTATCCCCCTGAAAGTTTCTTTTTGGTGGTGGGGAGGGGTGGGGGTTGTTTTTTTTTTTGCTGTGCGCAATTGGCTGCCGCGTTTTCGCCCACAGAATACGGTCACTACACTTCGCCGTATATTCCGCGAAGCGCTTTGAGAACCCATTAAGGCTCTGTCACACACGCAAGGACCGTTATTATTATTGTCGTCGATCGTTTGCAACCCTCACCCCGGATGAAACTGTTCAGGCCCTTGAAATCCATTTGCTCGCGGGAGATCTTTTGATCCTGTTTCCCTGATTTTTTTTTCTCCCCCGCCCCCCCCCCCGGTCCTCGCCCGTCTATCCCTCCATCTCCTGTATAAACGCTGCCTTGTTTCACCTACGATTAATTAATTGTACGCTTTGCAGTCAATCCTCTTGAGCCATAAAACCCTTCCGAAAAGAAAAATGGAACACGCGCCTCTGGTCGCCCGCGGTCAGTAGGAACCCGCGTGTTAGTCGATTGGGGTAATCCCTTCAAATTTTTTTTAAAAAATTGGTCACTCAACCCCACGGCTGTTTGTGGGGACGTCCCCGGGCGCAATTGGCTGCCGCGTTTCGCCCACAAGACACACAGTCACTACACTTGACCAGTACACCTTGTGAAGCGCTTTGAGACGTCTCGACGACGTGATAAGGCGCTGTGTCAAAAATGCAAGGATGATGATGATGATGATGATGATTATATAAACGCAAGTCGTTGTTGATGGGGTCAGTTCTCTGTGCATGTGTGCATGGGGGGGGGTGTGGGGGGAAGAGAGAGAGAGGGAGAGAGATGGGGGGGGGGGGCAAACCCGATATAATCTCGCGTCAAGCAGCTTCACTGGTTGCACTTGTGCTAAATTTTGGCGGGACCTGCAAACGAGGGGAGGGGGGGGGGCGTGGTGGGGTGGGGGTGGGGGGAAGAGAAGGGTCTCGTGTGGTCTCTGCCTGACTGACTGCCTGCCGGGTGGGTGGGTGGGCGTGTTTGTGCTGGGAGTCCGTTCACCCCACGTTGACCGGCCGGCGTTTCGAAGCACGTTCCCCCCCAACCCCCCCCCCCCCCGGCTCGGCTGGCAAATGGTGGCGCTGAAGTTCACCGCTTTCTCTCTCTCTCTCTCTCTCTCTCTCTCTCTCCTTTATCGCCCCCCACCCCACCCCTCCGCCACAACTGTCCGTCCGTCCGTCCGCCCGCCCACAGGAGTACAAGCGCAAGCAACTGGAGGAACAGAGACAATCGGAGAGACTTCAAAGGCAGCTTCAGCAGGAACACGCTTTCCTCATGTCCCTGCAGCAGCAGCAGCTGCAGAAACAACAACAACAACAGCAGCAGCAGCAGCAACAACAACAACAACAACAACCGCCTCAAGAGAAGAAACAGCTGTATTACTACAATAAAAACGTCAATCCAAGCGACAAGCCGGCCTGGGCAAAGGAGGTGAGCCGGTCCGACTACGAACGAGAAAAGGGGTCCTCCTCGCTTTTCCACCCCATCCATCCCCCCCCCCCCCCAAAAATATAATATAGTCCCCGCACCATACCCCCTCGGCTGGCTCCGGCCGCCTGTTGGCCCCTCGCACCCTCCCTTTCCCGCTGTTGGCTGCCGCGTTTTGCCCACAGTCACTACACTATGCAGTGTGTCCCCTGAAGCGCTTTGAGACGTCTCTATTATTATTATTAAGTTGTTGTTGTGGTAACCATCCTGCCGCTCTTATTGACGTTCCCCCCCCTCCCCCTCCCTCCCTCTCTCCATCTCTCTCTCTCTCTCTCTCCCCCCCTTTCTCCACGCAGGTAGAGGAACGCTCCAAGATGAACAGGCAGAACTCGCCGGGAGCCAAGCCAAAGATGGGCACCACCATCTCCGACCCTGCACTACAGTCCCGCACGGAACCACCGGTGTCCGCCCTGGGCCCTCAGGCTTCCCAGACGCCCCCCATGCACCGCCCCGTGGAACCTCAGGGAGCACAGTCCAAGGTTATTCCCATTCCCCTTCTCTTGCCTCTCCGACCTGCTTACCCCCGCCCCCCCCCCTTCCCCTACCCACTGCCTCCCCTCGGCTGGCTCTGGCCTCCTGGCTTGTCCCTCACCCCCTCCACTCCACCGCAATCGACTCTAGTTTACGCTTGAAAGGAATCAACATTTTCTGCTTCCACCCTCCGTCTGCTCCACACAGTTACCCCTCGCTCACTGCGGCTCCGCAGATTAGTCCTGAATCCACCACCTCCACTCCCCCCTTTCAATCTCAGGCCATGTCCTCTGGTTCTACAGTTCTGGACGAGATAAAACCAGGTCTACGTTCCCTTTAGAATCTTAAACGCAATTGGATGGCCTTCTCTTTGACGTCGACCAATCTTGGGGGGCCTCGGGGGGGTTGGGGGGTGCGGAGAGACGGAGTGGGGGGTGGGGGGTAATTCTGTTGACTGTAGGTCAATTGGCCGCTGGTGTGTTAAATCTCGCTGAAACGCCTTCCCAACAGTTCCAAGTTGCCCATCGTGTTGCCCTGAAGCCGTCCTCGGCCGCAGTCCCACGGTCCCAGTCCATGCAGGACCACCCCGGCAAGAGCGTGAGCCCGATCGCCTTCCCGAGCCAGGACCCCGAGCCGGCCCGGCCAGCCCGCGGCCAGCTGCTGCGTCAGAACTCAGACCCCACCTCTGAGACCCCTGCCGGACCTCCTCCACCCCTTTCCGAGACCGCCCGAAGCCAACTGGGGCCGTGGGTGAAGATTGGCGATGAGGCGCCCCCCAAGGTAACGTTGGCGAGTGGGGTGGGGGTGGGGGGAGGGGGAAAGGGGGAGAAAACGGAACCAAAACGGCCTCCCAGCGGGTTGGTTACCAGCAGCTTCTGCAGTGTCCTGGACTGTCGTACTCAAGCCAGGGAGAGGGGGAGAGAGAGACACAGAGAGAGAAAGAGAGGAGGCGGGGGCCGCTGTTCTTTTCTTTGGGATCAGGTGGGGGAAGGCGAGGTAACACCCCTTCGTAGCATCCGTTGTTTTATATCAGCGAGAAGGAGCTCCTCTTCCTCCGCGCTCCCCCGCCTTCCCGCCCGTTCACGGTGAAATCATCACCAGCTGCAGTTTCGGCAGTTATTTCTCTCCGCGGCCCTTTCCTCCTTTCCTCTTTTCAAGAAGAAACACAAACTCGGGCTGCGACGTGTGATGGATATTGACTTTTCCTCGTGTCCTCGGTCCTGTCCGTAACCGTTTGCCTCAGTCGCTGTTTGTACTGTTTGCGATTTCAGCTCTGCTCTCTGGATGTTTTACTCTCTCGGATCTAGGTTTTACCTCCCAGCAACTGCCACCCCACCCCCACCCCCTTTCTGTGTCTGTCTGTGTGTCTCTGTCTTTGTCTGTCTCTCTGTGTGTCTCGCTCTGTCCTCCCTATGTGTGTCTCTCTCTCTCTCTGTGTCTGTCTGTGTGTCTCTGTCTTTGTCTGTCTCTGTGTGTGTGTGTGTGTGTGTGTGTGTCTCTCTCTCTCTGTCTCTCTATGTGTCTTTCTCTCTGTCTCCGTCTCTCTGTGTGTATGTCTCTCCCTGTCTCTGATATCCTCCCTCTCTACACTACCCCATCTAGAACTTCACAATTAGGAAGTTAGCATGGGTTAGAGACACAGTAACGCTCCTCTACACTGTGCGTCCGTCCACACTCCCAGGTCAGGGTTAGAGACACAGTAACGCTCCCTCTACACTGTCCGTCCACACTCCCAGGTCAGGGTTAGAGACTCAGTAACGCTCCCTCTACACTGTGTGTCCGTCCACACTCCCAGGTCAGGGTTAGAGACACAGTAACGCTCTCTCTACACTGTGTGTCCACACTCCCAGGTCAGGGTTAGAGACACAGTAACGCTCCCTCTACACTGTGTGTCCACAACTCATCTCGGAGATGTTTTAAGGCCCTGTATCAAATGCCAGGGTTATTATTGTCGCGATTCCCTTCTCTCCCTACTGTGTGCATCAAATCACCGTGTTAGTGAAAACTGAGGCCAATTGCGTCTGACCTCAGTTAACCTTGGAAAAACACCTGGCATATGAGCCACAAAAGATGTTTGATCTGCAAGCCTCTCTCGCTCTCTCCCTCTCTCTTCCCCTCTCTCCCCCTCCCACAAACGTGTCTTTGTAAAATGACGCCCTGTGAAAGCCGTACGTTCCAAAACGCTCCCGTCTCAGCCACGGCAGTTTCCTTCCAGGAGAGGGGGAAAGGCAAAGGGACATTGCTCCCCCTCCCGCTTCAAGAGTTGGTGTAAATCCCCCTTCTAGTTCCGACGGGGAATTGTCCTAAATCCTGCCTGAACCTCTTGTCATTACAGGTTCCTCAGAGAACAACATCCATAGCAACAGCACTGAACAGCACCAGCGCCCTGGGTATCCGACCAGGGCTAGCACCTCGGGCAAGGTAATAATCATCACCTGGTCTCTTTACCACCGCAGCCCACCCCATGAACATCGTGGAGTCCCTATAGTTCAGGGGTTAGAGCCCTCGCAAGCGGGAGGGACCCAGGTTCGATTCCCAGGCGAGTCAGGTTGGGTCGGGGGGGCCAAACCTTAGGCAAGTTTCCTTACTCCCCCCACGCGCGCGCACACATGCACGCCTCTTTACCAGCAGTAAGTAGGAACCCGCTTGTTAGTCGATTGACGGATTGCTTTCCAGAGTGTGATAATACCCCCCACCCCGCCCGCCCAAAATCCCACTGTTTTGCGGCTGTGAAACGCAACACACACAGTCACTACACTTGACCATGTGAGTTGTGAAGAGCTTTGAGACTCCTCGACGACGTGATAAGGCGCGGTGTCAAACGCAAGGATTATTATCATTATAATGAATCAATTATTAGTATTATTATAATAATAAGGTAGTGCCTTGTGTGCTTGGGTTTACAGCAACCCAGACCTGCGCAGGATCGAGCCCGGATGGGAACGGGCGGAGAGTCTGCCCCAAATCGGCCCAGGCCCCTATCACATCCACCAGACCGGCTCGATGGAACGCAACAGAATCGCAAGTATGTAGAAGGCCAATAACCACACGTGACATTGACGTGGAGCCTTTCACAGCCTTGGGAGGACGTTCCCAAGGCGCTGGACGGTCAGGGGTTTGGCCCCGAGCTGGGCGTTGGGATCAGGAGGGACTGTGGGGTGGGGTTCCAGAGGTTGGGGGCAGAGAGGCTGAAAGACTGGCTGTTGATGGTGGGGCTGGGCGAGGCGGGGGACGTAAAACAGGAAGGAGCCCACCGAGCGGAGGGAGCAGACACGTTGATAGCTGTCTTCAAGGCCCATCTCTTCGACCAACCGTGCCTTCGGTCACCTTCCTACCCCCTGCCCTCCACCACCTCCTGATCCCAACCCCCTGTTCAGCTCGGGTCCAAATCCCTGACTGTCCAGCCCAGCCCCTCGGGACTTCCTCCCGACGCTGTGAAAGGCATTGCTCGTGGCTGAATGAATTGAACCTCATGGTGTGTTTTGCGCCCACAGCTTCCTTCCAGCCCGAGGGATCACCCGTTCCCTCCCAGGAGACAAACCGAGGGAAACCAGAGGAGATCCGAACAACCTCTAGACCAAGCAGACCTGCAGTAAGTGACGCAAGTGTCCTCGCCAGCACACCAGCTGTTTATAATAATAATAATATTGACCCAGCGCCTTATCGCGTCTTTTGAGACGTCTCACAGGCTACACTGTAAAGCGTAGTGACTGTATATTTTGCGGGCGAAACGCGGCAGCCAATTGCGCCCAGCGACGTCCCCACACAAACAGTCGTGGATTGAGTGATTGCATTATTTTTTTTGGAGGGTTTATTAGCGACCCCCCCCCCCCCCAGGGAAAGCAATCCGCCAATCGACTAATAAGCGGGTTCCTGCTTGACTCCCCGTCTGCCTGTTTGTGAGGATGTTAAAGCAGTGTTAATAGAATACACCCACAGTCACTACATTTTACAGTATACCCCCTTGAAGCGCTTTGAGACGTCTCAACGACGTTACACAAAACGCAAGGATTAATATTATTATTATTCTGTTTCCCGGGCTGGTCCTGGGTTGCACGGACAGCCACATTGCCTTTGCATTCAGCTGAACTGTTTGCGTCGCCTTTCTGTATAACCTTCTGCCTTTTCCTTTCCCCTCTCGCATTGCAATCTCAGAGCTATAAGAGAGCGATAGGCGAGGTTAGTGGCTTTTACTTGTAAGCTGTGATGGTGGACGCATGTGTGCGCGTGTCTTTGTGTAAGTGTGTGTGTGTGTGCGCATGTCTGTGTGTGTACGTGTTTGGTGGGGGTGTAGAGGTTTCCATATGAGACGGGGTAACATGACGGGGCTGTGGGGAGGGTGCGTGGCTTGTAGATTTCACTTGTTTCCATTCAGAATATCGGTCACCTCCCTGCCCACCACCCCCTCCTGATGCCAACCCTCAGCTCGGGTCCAAACCCCTGACTGCCCAGCCCAGCGCCTTGGGACGTCCTCCCGACCCAATCAAAGGCGAGCGCTGTGTGTATGCGAGTGTGATGTTTTGCTGTGCTGGTGTCTCGAGAGTTGCCGCCGTTTTCCTCTCAGGACCTTTTGAACCCGGGGAAGGAACCTCGACCTGAGGAGCTGCCCAAACCGCCGGTCAAGGTGATGGACTACTCCTCGTCCAGCGAGGAGTCGGGCAGCAGCGATGAGGAGGACGAGGAAGGGGACAACGACCGTCAGGACGAGAATCTGTCCAGCTCCGACGGCTCGCGATCCGGGTGGGTTTCTCCAAGATGAGGTGGAGGGAGGGAGGGAGGGAGGGAGGGAGAGGAAGGAAGAGGGGGTGGAGAGAGGGAGGGGTGGGGGAGAGAGGAGGAGGTGGGGGAGAGAGTTTAGGGTGGGGAGGCTGTTGTCATTGACTAGGCAGGTCACCAGGGAAAGGAATCAAGTCCAGGACACTTGGATTCATACAACAACAACTTGCATTTGTACCTAATAATATAATAATAATCACCCCTTGCAATTGGTTGCCGCGTTTCGCCCACAAAACACACAGTCACTCCGCTTTGCAGTGTACCCTGTGAAGCGCTTTGAGGCGTCTTGAATGCATTATTATTATTATTACCACTGAAAACGCACAGTTTGAGACATTGAGAGTTTTTGTGAGGACCTCTGACTTGCCGAGGGCTTTGGGATCGAGGGGCTCTGGGACTCTGACCCAGCGTGAGGGGCACTACTCTGCGTAAAGGCAAGTTGTTGTCGATGACGTGGTCTCGCGAGGTGACGTGCAGTCGGGTGAACTTGCTCTCGTTCTTTCAGACCAAATCAGAGCAAAGACGGAGACACCGACAGCATCAACACCATGGTGGTTCACGAAGGTGAGGACTCTCCAGAGGCGGAAACGACCGGAAGCTCGTACGACGATGGCACTATGATCGTCCAGAGGGTACGTGCCTTTTGGCCCACAGACACACACGCACACATACGAAAAACAACGCGCACACAGTCACTACACTTTACGGTGTGTGTACCCCGCGAAGCACTTCGAGCTGGCCGTACGGAATGCAAGGCTTGTTATTATTAGTCGACTATTTTTTGTGTAATTTGGTGTAAAATTCGCGTCGGAAACTTTTGTTGGATGAGGTGTAGAGACTTGGTTCTGGTAGAGACTTGGTGCAGAAACCATTTATTGCTCTCTCTTTCTCCCTCCCTCTCTCTTTCCCTCCATCTCCCCCCCCCCACCTCTCTATCTTCCCCCTCTCTCGCTCTCTCTTCCTCTCGCTCCCCCTCTCCAGACGCCAGAGGAGAAGCGAGGGCTCCACCACCCGGAGAGTAACGGCTTTGCCAGCCACGTGAACCTGCCCGACCTGGTGCGACAGAACCATTCCCCCACCGACCACAAAGGCTCCAACTCGCAGCTGGACAACGGCAGCGAGGTAAGCCCTGGGCACAAACCAGCCGACCAACCCACCCAGCCACAAAATACAGTCACTACACTTTACAGTATGTTCTGCGAAGTTGAGACGTCTCAACGACGTGACATCAAATGTACGTGTTATTTATTTACTATTACTATTGTTCTTCGCAGTTTCAGTCCCGAGGTCTTGTGAAGTCACCTGGTAAATCCTCCTTCACCACCTTCGTGGACCTGGGCATGTACCAGATGGGTGCTTCGGGCGAGACCTTGCAAATCAGCGGTGAGTACCGAGGCACGAGAGAGAGAGAGTCCAGCCTTTGCCCCACGAGGTGGCGAGCAGGAGGCCTGGGCACAGCATCGCATTGTGACGTTTTACCCAGCCCCTGCCTTTCTCGTCGGGAGGACGTCCCGAGGCGCTGGGCTGAACGGTCAGGGATTTGGACCCGAGCTGAACAGGGGGGGGGGTTGGGATCAGGAGGGGACGGAGGGCAGGGGGTAGGAGGGTGGGGGTAGGAGGGTGACCGAAGGTACGTTTGGTCGAAGTGGAGGCTCTTGAGACGGGCCTTGAAGGAGGCGAGGGAGGGAGGGGGCGAGCGAGGCGGAGGGACTGTGGGATGGAGTTCCCGAGGGCAGAGAGGCTGAAGGCCTGACTGTTGATGGTGAGGCCTCGCCTTCTCTCTTGCCTCTTTCCAGCCCCGTCTCTTGACCTTCCTATTCGACCGCGCCTTCTGCCACACGCGCGCGCACACATACCCCCAGGGTGCTCGCCGTGCGAGTGTAACCTTGTCGTTGTTGTTGCTGTATCGGCTTGAAGCCGGAGCTATAAAGGGCTGCTTGTGTTCCCCTCCTCCCGGCCAGGCTTGAGTCTCAACGATGTGAGCCGGCTGAGCCAGCTCAAGTACGACGACAGGAAGGGCTCGGTGGTCAACGTGAACCCGACCAACACCAGGCCACACAGCGACACACCCGAGATCCGCAAGTACAAGAAGCGATTCAACTCCGAGATACTCTGCGCCGCTCTGTGGGGTAAGAGGCAACGAGGTTCCCTCTCGCTCGCTCGCTCTCCCGCCCGCTCTCGTTCAAAAGTGCTTGACGGGATACACCGTAAAGTGTCTTTTGTGGGCGAAACATTAGAACATACAGCACACAAACAGGCCGTTCGGCCCAACAGGTCTATGCCGGTGTTTATGCTCCATGGGAGCCTCCTCCTGCCATTCATCAACTTAGCCTTCAAGCAGAACCTTCTATTCCTTTCTCCCTCGTGCACCTCACCAGCTTCCCCTTAAATACATCTATGCTATTTGCCTCAACTCCTTGTGGCAGCAGCTTCCACGTTCCCACCACCCTCTGTGTGAAGCCATTTCTTCTAACTTCTCTATTCGATCTGTTCGTGACTATTTTATATTGATGGGGCCCCTGGTTTCGGTGGACACATCTTCCCTAAGTCGACCCTATCCAAACCTTTCATCCTTTTAAAGACCTCTCTCGGGTCACCCCTTTACCCTCCTCTTTTCAAGAGAAAAGAGTCCAAGCGTGTTCAGCCTTTCCTGATAGAAGCACGGCCGCCAATTGCACACAGCGACATCCTCACAAACTATCATGGATTGAGTAACCACATTCCCATCACCACCACTGGAGCTCTCTACTCTAACCCCATTCCCTGCTCTCTCTCTCTCTCTCCCCCTGAGGTGTGAACTTGCTGGTGGGTACTGAGAATGGCCTGATGTTGCTGGACAGGAGCGGGCAGGGCAAGGTCTACAGCCTCATCAGCCGACGCCGATTCCAACAGATGGACGTCCTCGAAGGGTTGAACCTCCTCATCACCATATCAGGTGGGCGACTGGGAGAGGGTCCAGGAGGACACACCCAATTGGTCGGTTATCGTACACAGACCATAATAATAATAGTAATAATAATAATCCCGGCGTTTGACCCGGCGCCTCATCGCGTCTTCGGGGCATCTCAAAGCGCTTCGCGGGACACACTGTAAAGTGTAGTGACTGTGTGTTTTACGGGCAAAACGCGGCAGCCGATCGCGCCCAGCGACGTCCCCACAAACAGCCGTGGGTTGAGTGACCAAATTAGTTTTTGAAGGGATTATTGTGTAGAGTGTGCGTGTGTTGTGTGTGTTGTGCGCGTGTGCGTGCGTGTGTGTGTACATGTGCCTTACTGTGACTGCTCTCCCCTCTCCTTGCACTCAGGAAAGAGAAATAAGTTACGTGTCTATTACTTGTCTTGGTTGCGGAACAAGATATTGCACAATGACCCTGAGGTGGAGAAGAAGCAGGGATGGACTACAGTGGGGGACATGGAGGGCTGTGTGCACTACAAAGTGGGTAAGTACAGCCTCGACTGACTGGTGTATAATAATAATCCCATCTACAGTTTGGGACTTCATTTTTTTTGCCCAACCTGGTGTCTGACTGACACACACGGAAACCCGTCACCGATGCTTAAGAGTCTCCAAACCCAACTGAAAATTCCTGGCTTCCCGCCCCGACACATGGAAATCCCAGCGAGAGATTATCGGAATGGAAAGCTCTCTCTCTCTCTCTCTCTCTCTCTCTTTCCCTGGACGGACGCCCCCTGCTCACCTAATTCCGGAGAGTATTAGGCGCAGGTTGGCTTCGGGGGGAGCCCAGAGTGTGCGTTGGGGGTAACAGCTGGAGTCTAACCAGCTAAACCCACACACAGCTTAGCCAGCGAGAGAGAGCACTGTCTGGCCAAGCTTTCCCGCTGCTTGTCCAGCTAGGACCCCCTCCCCGCTAGTTAGTGAGTGAGTGAGTGAGTCCATGCGTGCGTGCGTGAGTGAGTGCGTGCGTGCAGGGCTAACAGGATCTGAGGAGGAGGAGGATTCCCTGCCCCCAGTGACTGGTCGGCCCTTCCAGGTCCTGTGCGACACGTGCGAGCGACTGCCAGGAATGGTGGAAGGCAAACCGGATGGACCTCGGTCTCCTTTGGCCCGGCAAGTTCACACGATCCTCACATTGTTCCTCTTTCTCCTTCCAGTCAAGTACGAACGGATTAAGTTTCTAGTGATTGCTCTGAAGAACTCTGTAGAAGTTTACGCCTGGGCACCGAAGCCTTACCACAAGTTCATGGCTTTCAAGGTACAGAGGGCATCACCCTGCCTGGTGGTGGGGTGGCTACGGAGGGTTTATATCTATGTGCCATCCAGTCGCTGTCTGCTGATTTCCCCCCGGCTCCACGTCGCGCTCCGCCACTGTCAAGCGCTCTGGGGCGCTACCCTGCACGAGGGGACGCTGTGTAAAGACGCTGTGTCGTCGTTGCTTTCGCTGCATTTGCCACATTTGTAAATAACCTTTACGGTTTAGTCTTTCACTTCAGGCCTCGCTAACCCTCCCTCCGCTGCGTCCTTCAAGGCACATCTCAAGACCCTGCTCTTCGACCAGCCGCGCCTTCGGTCACCCCCCCCCACCGCCTGCCCCCGCCCTCCACCCCCTCCTGATCCCAACCCCCAGCTCGGGTCCAAACCCCTGACTGTCCAGCGCCTTGGGATGTCCTCCTGACGCTGCGAAAGGCTCCGTGTTGTGGTGGATGTCTCAAAGCGCTTCACAGGATTTTTACTGTAACGCGCAGTGACTCGTTTTCTGTAAGTCCACGGACACGGGGCTCAGGAATATTCTTAATCATCTCAGAAGTGCGATTAATAATAATAACAATGATAATAATCCTGCCATCTGATAACATCGCCTTCTCACGTCTTCGAGCGGTCTCGAGGCGCTTCACACTGTAAAGTGTAGTGACTGGCGTGTATTTTTTTGCCGTGGCAGGCAATGCACATCCGCCGAGTGCGGTTGAGTGCTGTCTCTCCTCACGGTTCGTTCTCTCTCTCTCTCTCTCTCTCTCTCTCTAGTCTTTCTCAGATCTGCCTCACAGGCCAACACTCGTCGACCTGACGGTGGAAGAGGGCCAAAGGTTAAAGGTGATATACGGCTCGAGCGCTGGCTTCCACGCGGTCGACGTGGATTCCGGGAACCCGTACGACATATACATCCCAGTGCACGTAAGTGTTAGCGAGTTTCCCAGGCCCGTAGCGGAGGCCCGCGGCTCGCAGCAGGTATCGCCCTCGCAAACGAGCGAGAGGACCCGGGTTCGAGTCCCGGGCCGGCCGGAACACTTCCTGTGTTTACTCGGCAGTCGGTAGGAACCCGGTCGCTAGTCGATTGGCGGATCGCTTTTCCGTGTGGGGTGATAAAATCCCTTCGAACAAAAATAATAATAATAATAATAACTCGGTCGCTCCCAACCAGCGGCTGCTTGTGGGGCGACGTCGCTGGGCGCAGTTGGCTGCCGCGTTTCGCCCACAAAACACACGCACAGTCCCTCCGCTTTACAGTGTTGACTGTACCCGCGAAGCGCTTTGAGACGCCTCGACGAGGCGAAGGAAGGGCGGAGGCAGCTCACGCCAACACTTCTGCCAGGGAAAAAAAAACACGTCAGCGCCTCCTCCGAATTCGCCCCGCGCCCCCCTTTGGGACGTCTCGACGACGTGACAAGGCTCGGTGTCCAGGGCCAGGGTTATTATTATGAATCATTAATTATTATTATGAATTGTTTATTATTATTATTATTGTCGTCCTCCTCCGCCGCCCCACGTTGTACTGTAGATCCAGAACCACATTGTGCCTCACGCCATTGTGATCCTCCCCAACACGGCGGGGATGGAGATGCTCCTGTGCTACGAGGACGAAGGTGTGTACGTCAACACTTACGGACGCATCACCAAGGACGTCGTCCTGCAGTGGGGAGAGATGCCAACTTCCGTGGGTAGGTCCTGGCCACCTCCCTCCCCCCCTCTCTATCTCTCCGACCTCTCTCTCTCTCTCTCTCCGACCTCCTCGCTCCCCACTCACGCCACCCGCTGCCTCCGCTCGACAGGTTTCAGCCTCCTGCTCGTTTCTCGCCCCCCACCCCCCCCACCCCCACCCCGCTCTACCATCGGCGGCTGCGCTTTCAGCCACTGCGCCCTGAAACTCTGTTGCTTTCTCCCCCAATTCCTCCCCCTCTCCCTCCCTCCTTTCCTCCCTCCCCACTTACAAATCCCCCTTAAAGATCTTTTCAATTGTGCTTACGGTCACCTCCCCCCTCACTTCCTCCCTCCGCCACTGTCGAGCACTCCGGGACGCTGCGTGGGTGGGGTGCGGTTTAAGCACAAGTTGTCGTTGCTGTCGAGTAACTCTTTTAAGTCTTGCCCCCCCACCCTCCCTCGCAGCGTACATCTGCTCGAACCAGATCATGGGTTGGGGAGAGAAAGCAATCGAGATCCGATCCGTGGAAACTGGTCACCTCGACGGTGTCTTCATGCACAAGCGAGCGCAGCGGCTAAAGTTCCTGTGTGAGAGGAACGATAAGGTAACTCTCGCCAGGGTGGATTCCTGTCCGCAAGCCTAGGAACAGGAGGAGGCCATTCAGCCCCTCGAGCCTGTTCCGCCATTCTATTCGATCGTGGTTGATCTGTGCCTCGACTCCAATGACCCCGCCTTTGCCCCGTTATCCCTTGATTGGAGACCCTGTAGCTCGGGGGTTAGACCCCTCGCCTAGCAAGCCAGGGGACCCGGGTTCGATTCCCGGGCGGATCAAGTCGGGGCGAAATGTTGGGTACCCAAGTTTCCTTACAACGCGCGCGCACACACACACACACACACACACACACGCCTCTGCTTACCCAGCAGTAAGTAGGTTGTGAGTCAATTGGGGGGATCACTTACCGGGGATAATAATCCCTCCCAAAAATAAGTAAATAATGCGGTCACTTCAACCCACGGCTGTTCGTGGGGGACGTCGCCGGGCGCGATCGGCCGCCGCGTTTCGCCCACAAAGCACACAGCCACCACACTCGACAGCAGCGTGTCCCGTGAAGCGCCTTGAGACGTCTCGAAGACGTGATCAGGCGCCGCCGGGTCGCACCCCGGGGGTTGTTATTGTTATATTATGTACTTAACAAAGGATGAAAGAAATAATAATGAAATGATAATAATGTATTATTATAACAAACGAATTAACGTATTCACTCACCTGAATCCTTCTCTTCCCCCCCCCCCCCCCCACCCTCTCCCCCTTCCCCACACGCAGGTATTTTTCGCTTCAGTTCGGTCGGGAGGAAGCAGCCAAGTTTACTTCATGACGTTAAATAGAAACACAATCATGAACTGGTAATTAATAAAAAAAAAATTCATTAAAACTAAACCAAGGCACAGGAGGGCTGGGTTTTGTGTAAATAACGAGCTATTTGTTGACAGGCTGTCTTAAAATGCCTTCTCTGGAAGATGTGGTGAATTTAGTGCCTGAAACACACCTATTTCCCCCCCCCCTCCCCCCCCCCCCCCCCCCCCCCCGAAGAAGCTTTCCCACTTTTTTTCCCCTTCGCAATTAAACTTATTATTATTATTGTTGTTATTATTATTAATAATTAATTTTTTTGTGTGTTTTGTTATGAGGAAGGAGCGTATCTCACCCCTACCTACCACCCCGCCCTCCCCCGCTCTTCCACCCCAACCCCACCCCACCCCCGGCTTCCCACCCCCCCCCCCGCGCCCCGTTCTCTATTGCACTTGCTAGATCTCGTCCCAGATGTTCTTACGATCGTGGCTGATTAACTCTTATTACTGTGGCGGCGGCGGTGGGCGAGCAGTGAATTTGGTTAAGGAGCAAACAAGAGGGAGCGGTGGGAAAGGGAGTTAAGGGGTCAGACACATTGATCTCTCTGTCTCTCACACACTCTCTCTCTCCCCTTTCACTCGCGCACACTCTTTTTCTCCCACTCTCTCTCACCCTCACACTCTCACTCCCTCTCACACTCACTCTCTCTCTCTCTCTCTCTCTCTCTCTCTCTCTCACTTACTCTCTCTTTCTCTCCTTCACACTCTCTCCATCTCGTAAGCATCTTAACAGGGAGCCAGGCTTCTGCACTGACACACTCGGAAACCCATCACCGTGCTTAAAAAGTGTCTCGAAACCAGACCGAGATTTCCACCAAAACCCGGTATCAGGATTATTATGCGATGGGACAAACATCTAGCCTTGGCGTAGAAAATAATATTCCTTTTCCCAGTCGATTTCCCCCCATGGAGATTTCCAACCAAACTGAAACCCGTGACAATCATTCCCCCCCCACCCACCACCACCCCCTTTCCTCTTCCCCTTCCCTCCCCCGACCCCCTCCCCTCAATAAAAAAAAAAGCAGGGTTGTATCTTAAAGGCTGCAGTGTTTGTGGAACAAAAAATCGCATGGTATAGACTTTATACATCAATCTGCCGATCTCGACTTTCCTGTTTCAGTCTCTCTTTGATGTCTGTCTGTCTCTCTCTCTCTCTCTCTCTCTGTCTGTCTGTCTGTCTGTCTGTCTCTCTCTCTCTCTCTCTCGGTCTCTCTGTCTGGAGATGGACTGGTGTTTGGATTTGTGGACAAAGTCATCACAAAATTCCCTCTTTTTTTTTGTCTTCTCCCCCCCCCCCCCCCCCCCCTCCCCACCACACCCCCCCACCCAAGATGAATCACTGCCTTGCAAGCCACAAGAGCGAGAGGACCCGGGTTCGATTCCCGGGCGGGTCGGGTCGGGGCAAAACCTTCGGGAAGTTTCCTTACTCCCCACTCGCGCGCACGCGCGCGCCTCTGTTTGCCGGCAGTAAGTCGGAACCCGCTCGTTCGTCGATGGGCGGATGGGCTTTCCGGGCGGGAGTAATAATCCCTTCCAACAATAATAATAGTAATAATGCGGTCACTCAGCCCACGACGGTTCGTGGGGACGTCGCTGGGCGCGAGTGGCTGCCAGGTTTGGCCCCCAAAAACGCACAGTATGTTCTGTACAGACGCGATAAGGCGCTGTATCAAATCGATGGATTATTATTATTAAAAAGCTTGCGTTGCTCTTGAGGAGAGGCAGAGGTCTGCGAGTGATGGGGTTCTCCTTTTACCCCCCAACCTACCCTACTCCCTCCCTCCCTCTCTTTCCTCCCACCCCCCCCCCCCCCCGCCCCCCATCACCAGTCCATTCCCAGCGGGAAACTCTTCTGCAATCGCCGGTGGCATATTAAAGCTGTAAATGTAACTTACCTACCTTATGAGGGATTTTTAACTCTGCTTTTTTTGTAAGGAAAACGAGAATGAGCCAAGTCCCCCTTTCTGCTACTTAATCGATAAAAGCCTTACACCACACACACACGCGCGCGCACACACACACACAGACCCGCACAAAAACGCGTGCCTCTTTATCGCTCGTTCCCAGGCCAGCGCCCGGCCACCCTGTGAGCGGAACCGCATAAGAACTGCGCGCTTCTGGAGTCTCCCCTGTAGGTCAGGGGGGGTTAGACCCCCCCCCCCCTTCGCCTCGCAAGCCAGAGGGACCCGGGTTCGATTCCCGGGCGGGTCGGGTCAGGTCGGGGCAAAACCTTAGGCAAGTTTCCTTACTCCCCAAACACACACACACACACCCCTCTGTTTACCGGCAGTCAGGAGGAACCCACTCGTTTGTCGATTGGCGGATGGCTTTCCCCGGGTGGGGGGGTGGGTGGGGTGGGGTGGGGGACGGCGGCGGCGGTGATAATCCCTTCAAAGCAAAATAATAATTTGGCGGCTCAACCCACGACCGTTTGGGTGGGAACGTTCGCCGGGCGCAGTCGGCTGCCCGCAAAGCACACCCCACCTCACCACGGAGCGCTTCGAGACGTCTGAAGGACGTGACGAGGGCGGTGTATTCCGATGCCAGGCGTATTAATTATTATTATTATTATTATTATTATAACTGTTCCGCCATCTGTTGCCGTCGGCCCTGTAACATGACCAGTAATTGGCAGCCCCGGAGAGTTAAGAATCCCATGTAAGACGCCTCGTCTTAAATTGAATGAATGTAGCTTTTGACATTGACATAATTTATGTTCGGAAATGTTTTTTTTTGTTATGATGATGATGACGGAAAAAAATAAATACCGCCCTGTGCGGCGTTGTGGGGAATCTGCTGCGTCCGTCCCTCTCTCCCTCCCCCTCTCTTTCTCTCTCTCTCTCCCTCCCTCCCTCCTTTCTCACTCTCTCTCTCCCTCCCTCCCTCCTTCCTTTCTCTCTCATCTTCCCCCTCTCTTTCTCGCTCCCTCTCCCTCCCACCTCCTTCCGTCTCTCCCTCCCTCCGAGACCCTCACTCTCTCCCTCCTTTACTTTCCCTCCCTCACTCTCCTTCACTCTCCCTCCCTCCCTCCCTCCCTCTCTCCCCCTCTCTCTCTCCCTCCCTCTCTCCGTCGGATCAAGCCACCAGGACAACACGTTGAAGCGACTCGGATCAGTGTTAAACTTCTTGTTAGACCCTCGTTTAAAGACCTTCCTTCAACCAACCGCGCCTTCAGCCACCTTCCTCCCCCTCGCCCCCCCACCGCCACCACTGCCCCCCCACCCTCTCCTGACCCCAACCCCCAGCTCGGGTCAGAGACCCCCCGATTGTCCACCCCCCCCCCCCCCCCGACGTCTATCCCAAGTGATACAAGTGTCATGTGTTGTTGTAGTTGAACCAAAATCTTCTGAATGTGTGTGTGTCTGTGCTTGTCTGTCTGTCTGTCTGTCTGTGTGTGTGTGTCTGTGTGTCTGTCTGTGTGCCTGTCTGTGTGTGTGTGTCTGTGTGTGTGTGTGTCTGTGTGCCCATCTGTGTGTGTGTTTGCCCGTCTGTGTATGTGTGTGAATGTCTGTGTTTGTCTGCGTGTGTTTGTCTGCGTGTGTTTGTGTCTGTATGTGTGTGTTGTCTGTCTGTCTGTGTGTGCCCATCCGTGTGTGTGTTTGCCCGTCTGTCTGTGTGTGTGTGTGAATGTTTGTGTTTGTCTGCGTGTGTGTGCCTTGCGTGTGTGTGTCTGTCTGTCTGTCTGTCTGTGTGTGTGTCTGTCTGTCTGTCTGTGTGTGTGTGTGTGTGCGTGTGTACCAGGCTCACGGTTGAGCTTCAAGGATACCCCATTTACATTCCCTACCCCACCACCCCACTTATCTCCACCCCCCACCCCTCCCAGGAGAATATTTTGTTTGCAGGAGGTGCGAGGTCGAGGCGATGCTGAGTGGAGGAAATGAGGCAAATCTACACTGAACACGGCATCCGAACAGCCCATTTATTCTACAATCAGAAGGCGGAAATACCGCAGATGGCGGAAATCTGGAATAATAACCGATGTGGCTTCCGGACACTCAGCAGGTCAGGCTACGGAGAGGAGAAGGAGTTCACGTTGGAGGGCAATGAACTGGGGGGTGTGGGAAGGGGGCAGTTGAGAAGGACATTTTGCTATCGATTTTATTTTTCGTTCGTACGTCAGTTGGGCTTTGGCTGTGGGGTTAACAGGAGCCGAGGGGGAGGATTCCCTGACCCCCAGTGACTGGTCGGCCCTTCCAGGTCCTGCGCATGAGCCGGGGCCGGGCTGCCATCAGCGGTGACTGCCCTGGGACGCTGCGGCCCCTCCCGGCTCAGGAATCGGGGGCTAGAGACCGTCGTTCCGTTGCCAGCTCCGAGGAGACCCCCCCCGAGATGCATCTCGAGACCCAGAGGCCGTGTGAACGGTTACGGAAAGCCGGGAGGAAAGGCTGAGCGAACGTGGGGAGCTGTGGTTAACGTCCGAAGTGGTTGAAATCAGTGTTGGGGGGGTGGGGGGGTGGGATGGGGGTGTTGTAAGGCCTCCAGGAGATAGATGAGATGCCGTTAAGAGTTGCCCGAGGACAGCCCCGCCGACCCTTTACTCCAGCTTCCTCCGCCGCGCCGCTTCTATGCGACGCTCCTCCTGCTCCTTGCGTTTCGCAATGGCTTCCACGCTGAGCGCGCTGAGGCGGAACCACTCCGGGGCGAGCCACTCGATGGCCAGATGCTGCAACAAGGAACACAGGCGCCGTCTCTAACCCCGCTCCACTGCCTCTCGGGCAGAGGATTCACCGCAGCGGCGGCGGCTTTAATTCGCCCGCAAGACTTTAGTCGGCCACGGCAGCCTTCGGTCCACAAAACGCCCGGCCACTACGCTTTGGGGCGTCCGTCCTGCGAAGCGCTTTCGAGACGTCTCGGAAGAGGCGATCGGTCAGCATTACTATTTATTGATCGAGAGCGAGTCCCCGTAGCGTAGTTGGTCAGACCCCCCCCCCCCTCGCCTCGCAAGCGAGAGGACCCGGGCGGGTCAGGTTGGGGCGAAACCTTGGGCAGGTTTCCTTACTCTCCGTCTCGCTCTCCGCCCCCCACCACCCCACATACACACACCTCTGCTTACTCAGCAACAAGTAGGAACCCAGCTGTCAGTCGGCTAGCGGATCGCTTCCCGGGGCTAATGATCCCTCCAAACAAAATAATAATACGGTCACTCAATCCACGACTCTCTTCCTCCAATCTCTCTGTCTCGGCTCCTGCGACCCCTGCAAGCCAAAGCCATGACTTAACGGGTGGTGGAGGGCGTTTGGGTGGTGGGTGGCGGTGGTTCCCAGCTGGACCGAGGCTTCGAGACGTCTCGATGGAGCGCGGCGTCGAACGCAAGTGCTTACCTGTAAGGTGTGGACGAGGCAGCCGTTGGTCCTGGCTTGCAGACCCACCGTGTTGAGGGCTTCTCGGGCATATTGGTCGGGCGATTTGACGAACACCCCCAAGTCCTTGTAGTTCATCTTGGTGGCCACAAACAGCGGCATGACACACTGCGAGACAGGGCGAACCCGGTTGAAAGAGCGAGCGACTTGAGCCGGGAGAAGCGCGAGAGCGAGGACATTTAACTTATCGCCCATTCCAAGAATCCTCCCAACCGTGACGTGGAAATCCGCAGGGAGAGAGCGTCGGAACGGTACGTTCTCTCTCTCTCTCTCTCTCTCTCTCTTCCTGGAGGGACGCCCGCCTGCTCACCTAATTCCGGAGAGGATTAGGCGCAGGTTGGCTGGCGAGAGCCGAGGCTTTGGGGCGGGGGTTAGGGGGGCGGTGGGGGGCCCCAGGGTGTGTGTTGGGGGATAACAGCTGGAGTCTAACCAGCTAAACCCACACATAATTTGGCCAGAGAGAGAGAGAGAGAGAGCGCGCTGTCTGGCCAAGCTTTCCCGCTAGTTAGTTAGTCAGTGCTTTGGCTGAGGGGGAGGATTCCCCGCCTGGATGGCTATCCCGTTGCTTGTGTGCATGCCGGGGGGGGGGGGAGAAAAAAGGGGAAAGAAAGGGGAGGCACTTGACTTGATTTCTCCCCCACTTCCCCCTTATCGTGGCAGGTTCACAGAAACCTCCCTCCTCACCTGCACGATAATCCCCTTCGTCTTGTACTCTGTGTTCAGAGCTCGAGAGAAGAAATCGATGAAGACCTGGGGTGCGAAGAGGAGATAGTGGGGGTAACAACAGCTCGCACCCCTCGCGCAGGGTAGAGTCCCGGAGCGCTTGACAGTGGCGGAGAGCGATGCCGGGCTGGGGGGTGGGGGAGACAGAGAGAGGGGGGAGATGACCGTAAGCCACGGTCGAAGACCTGAAGGTGGGGGAGGAAGGAGTGGGCGAGGCAGAGAGATTGGAGGAAGAGAGCGACAAGATTGTCGGGGCGGGGGGCAGTGGCTGAAAAGCACGGCCGCCCACGATGGAGCGGAGGGGGCGAGGGGCGAGCAGGAGGCCGGAGCCGGTCGAGCGGAGGCAGCGGGTAGCGGGTTGGGGGGTAAGCGAGCGGGTGGGAGAGGCGGGTAGGGAGGTGCCAGGGCGGGAAGGGATTTGAAGACGAGTTGAGAGGAGCTTGAAATCCATCCGTTCGGTGATAGGGAACCAGTGGGGCCTGGGGAGGGCTGGGGGTGATGGGTGGGGGGGGAACGGGGTTTAGTGGGGGTGAGGGGGAACCAGTGGTGCCTCGTGAGGACCGAAGAAGAGGGTCTTGAGATGCCCACCTTGGTGGCGGAGTACATGGTGAACATGGGATGGGGGTGGGTTCCTGCTTCTGACGACACATTGATGATGATTCCCTTTTTCCTGGGTCAACAAAGAAGAACTTTACATAAAAGTCAGATTAACCCCCACTCCCCTACCCTCTCTCTCTCTCTCGCCCCCCCCCCTCCCCATCGTGTCACTGCTGGGGCTCGCTCCCCTCACCCCACCGTAACCCGATACGTTCTAGGAGATCGATCACTTACCTTTCAACCATCTGTGGAAGGATTATCCCAGTCATCTATCAGAAAAAAATCAGGTACAAGGGACATATTGAAGATCCTTAATAGTAATAATAATTCGTAACCAGCCTTGCATTCGATCTAGCGCCTCATCACGTCTTCGAGACTTCTCAAAGCGCTTCTCGGGATACACAGTAAAGTGTAGTGACCCTATATTTTGTGAGCAGCCAATTGCGCAGTGTCCCACAAACAGCCGTGGATTTGAGTGACCAAATTATTATTATTTTTTGAGGGATTATTACCCCCGGAAAAGCAATACGACAATAGGCTAACAAGCGGGTTCCTACTTGCCGCTGCGTAATCAGAGGCGCGTGTGTGTGTGTGTGTGGAGTAAGGTTTCGCCCTAACCTGACCCGCCCGGGAATCGAACCCGGGTCCTCTGGCTTGTGAGGCGAGGGGTCTAACCCCTGAGCTACAGGGGCTGTGGGGTGGGGGGAGGGGTCTAACCCCTGAGCTACAGGGGCTGTGGGGTGCGAGGCGAGGGGTCTAACCCCTGAGCTACAGGGCTGAGCTGCAGGGGGTGGGGTGCGAGGCGAGGGGTCTAACCCCTGAGCTACAGGGGCTGTGGGGTGCGAGGCGAGGGGTCTAACCCCTGAGCTGCGTGGAATCTAAACTTGAAAAAAGGTGAAGTGACTGTGCTCACCATCGGGCCCGAGAGAACATTGCAATTGACGATGTCCGCGATTGCCTGAAAAACAAGAATCCGGCAAAAAAACGCTGAATTATCTTCTCGACATTCGGGGGAAAATATTCAGAGAGTTATCGAGGAAAAAAGCTTGGGACACATTCTCTGTATGACAACAAAATAATAATACTAATAATAATAATAATATTATTATCCACTGTCTCTCCATTTCCCCCAGAGGATAGAGTTCAAAATCCTTGTCCTCAAAGCCCCTCCGAGGCTTCGACCCTCCCTACCGCTGCTGACCCCTTGTCAACCCGTCCGCTCCCCGGAAACGGTCGTGGGTTGAGTGGCCGCATTATTATTATTATTATTATTATTATGTATTTCGCTGCTCATCTTTTTTGCTCGTACCTTTGACAGCCTGACCCCCCCCCCACCCACCCCCCAGTGACTGGAAGGATTGAGGTTACCTGCTGCGGCTCCGTGACATCGAGGAAATAGGACGGGATATCAGCCGGCTGGTACGTCTTTCCCACGTTGTTTACTGCCGAAGGTAAATTTCTTGGTGGATTAGCACGAAGACACCTCTGTACGACTGTCTATAGACATTAACAGCGACACCGCTGGAGAATAACGACGCCGATCCTTGCCATTTCCGACCCGGCGCCTCCTCGCGTCTTCGAGGCGCCTCAAAGCGCTTCACGGGATACGCCGTGACTGTGCGTTCGGTGGGCGAAAGGCCGCCCCCCCCCCACCACCCCCCGAAAAAAAAAAGTAATAATAATAATTCAGTCGCTCGAACCGCGCCGGTTTGCGGGGACGTCGCCGCCGCGTTTCGCCCGCAAGAGAAACAGTCGCCGCGCTCCGCGGTGCAGCCCCGTGAAGCGCTTTGGGGCGTCTCGGAGACGGGATGAGGCGCCGGATAGGAACGCCGGGATTGTTATTACTCTTATTACTATTGTCGTTAATGTCAATTCAATTCATCCGGTGCGACACGCACCCAAAATGCCGATTTCCAGGCCGCCCAAGGACTGCGCGATGGGTCCGTATATGGACGGTCCTTTCGTGAAGTCGGCCTGGATTATCTTCACCGACCTCCCGTGCTCCTTCTCTGCCGTGAAACAAGACAACAACAACCTGTGGTTATACAGCGCCCGTCTCGAGGGGGAGGGGGTGGGGGTTAGTGACCCGGAGTCCGACCTCGAAACCCTCTCCACTCACCGATCTCTGCAGCTGTGTCTTTCAGTCTCTCCCACGAGCGGCTAATCAATACCACGTTCAACCCTTGTCTGGCCAACTGCCGATCGATAGCAAACACAAGAGGAGATTAGGCTGAGTTTCTTATCTGCTGCCCCCCTCCACCAACCCCCCCCCCCACCCCCCAGCCCTCCCCACCAATTCCCCCGTACCCACCACCACCCCTCGCCCACCCGCCTCCGTGATCTCACCTCTCCCTCCGCCCCTCTCAACTCCCCACCCACCCACCCACCCACCCATTAATTCTTATTGATAACGGTTTCCCCCGCAAGACACACAGTCGCTACGCTTTGCCGCGGAGTCTGAGAAGCCCTTCGAGGCGTCTCATAAAGCGCTTCGAGTTCCGGAGAATCATACGGTCGAGCGAAGTGGCTCTGTGTTTTGCGCTACGGAAACAGGTGTGTGAGTGGGTGT